GACGAATAAAATGAACACTTCCCTAATATTTCGAAAATATAGCTTTTTGGATGATACAGAGATCTAGTAAGACCTACCATTTCTCATCGAAACATTTACTTCGAAGTTGCACAGATTGTTAAAATTTGTTTCACAGGTACCAAATAGCGGTTGCAAATAATGTGGCTGACCAGAACGGTGTACTGCATGTGCTTGATATGGTTTCTTTCGATCCGTTATGCGGACTACCTTCAAATATAATCTTACCATTAGCTTTTCACAACAGAACATTATCAATAATCGTAGTTTTCAATATTTTTTTTTTTTTTTTGGAAGAATTCGATAGTTTTGATACATCTCAAATCCATCTGCTTTGATTTGGAAAAAAAATTCGCGAATTTACAAAATGTAATGAATTATTGTATTTTATCAGAAAAAATGAAATTGCAGGGATTTAGAATTAGAACTTTGTTACAAAGAAAAAGATCGAAATTCATCAGAAACTTTCGACCCTTTGAAAAATGAACAAAAAAAAGTAATAGTACCAAAGTAGGTCCCTTGTGAAAGCATTCAACGTCCAAAATGCCACTTCCTGGGAGTTGCGACTGTAATTCCCAAATCTGTTCAAGCGGAACTCCTTTTTTATTCAGTTGAGATTTCTTGTTTGGAATAGAGAGTACCACTTCTGTTTTGCGTGCTTCAACAAACATTCCCTCCACTTTACAACACAACTGCTTTTCCTAAAAATTTTATTTAGTCGTTTCAACCTAAAATAAATTCTTAAAAAAACAAATTTTCTCAGAACTTCAAAAGTTTTTACTTACTAATATGTTTCTTTAAGTGAATACTACAATTTTATATATATGCATAGTTAACTACTCAAAGTTTTAGTTCTGAGTAGCACTATAATTTTGTAGAGTGTTTAGAGGGTAGGCAAATAAACAAAATTACTCATTCTTACCGGTGTGAACTGCCATTTTTGAAAACGATCCCTTGCTGAGTTTCGTTTTAGCATCATTAATACAAATCCACCTTTATCCAGAACGTCAAGCACGTAACGTTCTCCCATTTTTGAACGATTATTCATCCCAATATTTTCCAAACAACCATCTTGTGCAAAGCGCCACAATTGGTTACAACTACTGTCGCTGGGGTTTAGTTTATTAAGTATTACTTTCCCCTTATGCAGTACTTCCAATACCAGTTCAAGTTCATCTGTGAAGCCATCTTCCGGTTTCCTGCAAAATTCCCTAAAAATTATTCAGTCCAAAATGAATCCAAATATAAAATTAATCATACCTGACAGAAGATATCAAATAAGAGGCGCTAAATGTATGATTTGGAATTAAAAGCAACTGAAATAGTAGTGTAAATAAATAAATGGAAAACGGACTTTTCTATCCAAGAATCCAAGAAAAAAGGAATAAAAATATTACCTGCCAAAAGAATGCGCGAATTTAATAAACACATCGTTAGTATACACCAAAGGCGGTCCCATTCCTGGTTTTTGTGGATCATATAAATTGGATTTGTTCTCAAACACTTGAAGTATCAATAATTTTGGTGCATAGTGATCGTCCCAAGCATAATCTACTGTACTTCGTGCTTTACAAATCGTACGCAAGTGAGAGCTTCGAGGCCTGTAAAAGAAAAACTTCGCATAATAAACAATTGAGACAAAAAATTAAACAATGAGAAACAAGAGGGAGATGAAAGAGTATGTGCTTAAATATTTTGCTAAGTCAAAAGTAATATTAAAACGTCTTAAACTTTTGCACATTTTAACGTTTTAATGATATGACGGTTTATTTATTGCCTCACCTTTCAATTTTTTGCTGGTATAACACAGGAACGTCGGATAAATTTTCCAGCTGAATTGGTGGTGGGTAGTAACAAACGTTCATGAAGGTAACGTAGAATATAGCACTGTTGAGTATCACCTCAACTCTCAGAAACTGAGGTGTTTCATCTGCATCTCTTCAAAATGAATACGAAACATTGGAAGAAAAATAATTATTGTGCAGCAGAGAGATACTATATTCTCAAGAAATTCCTAAATCAGTATTTGTCTCACGAAATTCTATACCTATTCGATGCATTCACTATAAAACAAAGCGTTATTGCTACATTGACAAGAAATAATGTTGTGCACTTATTTGCTATGAAGTAACTAGTAATATTTAGTATTATTTTGATTAAGAAATATTTAGGAAATTGTGCACTTATTTGACTCAGAAAAGTCTTGTAACCCAAATCTTGCTGAATATATTAATGATCAATGTTCCCTTTACATTTTTCTATAATTAAAATTAAACCTCATAGTAACATGGAAGGAGCTGATGAGATCGATTCTAAATGGACAACTCCAGTACTTGACATCATCGCGTTTCACACATATCATTCGATTATCTTCAAAATTTTCATTCCAAATAAAGTTGCATTTGCTAGCCACTTTTACATGCTGACTGGGCTGCTAAAAAAATTCTTTGTTAATCTATTAGGCTAAACAGACAACATTCTTCGTTTTTGCAGTTCTGCCAAATTTTTTTCTTTTTCGTAAAACCTATTTAATAAATAGAACAATAATGTTCAACACATCACTAATTCTCCAACTTCTGTTATTATACTTTTTCCCCAATACCATCTAAAGAAAATCAAATACATATAACAAAAACTACATACATCAATGTGATCAATGTGACTTAGCGAAAGTCCGAAAGAGGTTTGGTTATTAAGCACGTAACGTGGGGTTAACATAACAACTTGAGTATCTTTGTATCTGCCAGTTCCTTGTCGCACTTCCACACCAATGTTGTATATCCTACAACTAATAAATTCAAAAATTAGTCATAATGTGCATAATAGTAATTAAAAAAAGACTTTGTTTGAAAAAAAAGCCACACATCAAAAATTTGCAGAATGAAGAACAAACTGCGTCGGATGCTGATCGTGTACTAGTCGTAATTTCATAGAATGTAGTCCAACTGTAAGTGGAAACTTGGGTCCAAACAGTGGTTTGTAGCTTTGATCACTGGCATAATTTTGGCCAATCCTTACAGTACATCTGTAAAAATAAAATTCATATTTTTAATTGAAGTATGAAAGTGGTTGAATTTTTTGATTAAATTCTGAATTTCAAGATGTACTGTTTCGGGCAGTTGTCGTTAGCAAATGAGAACATTAATGGATTTCGATCCTTTGCACTTTCATGTTCTTCCATTTGTCCAGCAGCTGTACCGTTTGTTGCTTCCTGTTTGATGATTAGTGGAATACCAGATTTATTAACGATCCAGTACGGTACCTGCAGCACACAATAAAGTCAGGAATGATGTGAAACCAACATCAAATATTTGTTTAAAGTTTGACATCTGAAAGTGTTTGTAAAAGAGGATTACAAGATAAGAAATACTGGAGAATTATTTACATGTAGGAGAATGACTTATAAACCAACTCATCCTGCAGATTCTGAATGAACAGCAAAAATCGAACTAATGAAAGCAAAATTTACCCATAAAGACAGTAAAACAGCTCCACTGCTACCAATACTTAGACTACAATACATATCCAGATATCGCTTTTTCGAATCTTTCATGCGCAAGTGCAAACGATCTACAACATCACCGGCTTTCTGCATCAGTGAACTTCTAGAAAACATATAACATTAAATTTGTTCAAAATATTTCTGATTTCAACTTCATAAGCAAAATTAAGCCCAAAAAATTGCTAAATTCAGATTCAATCTGACGAGCTTCTTGGTAATAAAACAAGCCTCAAGCGATAGTCATTTTTTGAACGTACTTTGTGACTGTAATTTCGCGCATTGAGACGAATCGGTCAGTGACAACCTTAAAACTGATATTTTCAGCGGTATTAACCTGCAACATAGCAACTTAAACACAATAAAACAAAATAAAGCTTCTGCTTCAAAATCCATTAAGCTCACATCAATAATGACAGATCTCTCACATGGAGCCAATAACTTTAAACTTTTAAGAGTAAAAAAAATACTCACAGATGTAATCTGTATTTGTTTACTGGCAGAAACAGCATACTTTCTATTAACAATCCGAAATTCTGCATCAACTGGTAATAAATTAAGGACAGACAGAGGAGGTGAAAAATTTATTGTGTGTCCAGACAGCATTTCGTATTCCGGATAATGTTCTCGTTTTATCGATAGGCACATCCTGAAAGAGATATAATAACTCATTTTGACTAAAGGATTGAGTAATGTTGACATCGAAAGTTTAAAAAATCATAAATTTACCAGTAATATGCGTCAAATATATCGAATTTCAACAATTTATTGATTCTTTCGCCTGCATTCTTTGCTTCTTGCCATTTAACCTAAAATCAAGGTACATATTTCAGCCCGCATATTTGATAATACATTCTCAATTATTTTTCAATATACTTCATGGGCCTTCGAGCAATTCCAACCATCTGGTTTGACAGCCACTGAGGCGCTTGCAAATTTGAGCGGCACATGCAACGTTTTTTTCGAATCAACTCGAATGATTGATGTTTCTTCAACAAATAATTATTTTATTATTTGAAAACTATTTTAAAATCGTATAAGTCAGCACAATTTAAAAAGAAATTCTAAGAAACCTGGAATTTTCGAACTCCCACAAGTAAGAATCAGCAAAATAGGATCAACAAGGTGATTGATAACTGTTAATGCGGATCGTATAGTCACCACTTTTCGACCATTCTTATCCATCGCAACAACAATAACCAAACGGACATTAATTCCAAAATTACCCTGAAAAGCTAATACGAACATTATTTAGGGTTATGAAATATTGGATATAAACCAAGTAATAACTCTTCAAGTCTCCAAAATTTAAGCATAGCTTACATCTGCAGCTCTGGAAGTTGAACATCTGGCAAGCCGAAAATATGTACCAACTGCATCCACATTTACGGGAGATATTTCATCCCAACCATCAACACGGACTATAAGCTGATGGGTTTCTTCCGAATTTTCCTTAAAAATTTCATTTGAGAAATTATCATTTCATAAACATAAAGAAATAAGAAAGACAAAATTCATTCACAATAAAACAAACTGCAATGGTGAGCCTCTTTGTGGGAAATTCGAAGGTAATTGAAGCATCTGGAGCTATTTGATACCACTTGGCTGTGGACTTTCTTTGCATAGATCTAGCTTCCAACACCTCATCAGTAGCTGTTGTGAAACGTAGGGTGGAACCGGTCTCATTGTGCAAAATATAAGGAAGATGATCTGATCTTGATCGCACACATGGTCCACTAAAAACGTTCAGTTCAATTCTAATTGCATTAGGAAAATTTATCTGCTAGAATTACTTAGCCACTCATACAGTGCTCGCTATTAAAAAATTGAAAGAAAACTGAATATCATGCCAAGCAATAATAGACGTCCCAAAAAGGAAGCACAAGGCAACTGTCACATGATCTGTTTCATTTACAAATTGGTCAGTTCGTAAATAATCCAGGCTAACATGCGGCACTATTTTCTAAATTAGTTTGATCATATTTTTGGAAAACATAAAGACAAAAAAAACTTTACGTAAGTTTCTTCAAATATACTACAAAAAATTATGGATTTAATTATTGGATGTATAAAGAACTTCTTTGCTTACCAACTAGTTTTTTAAAAATCGTTGAAATTATAAATTGCTGTAGGATAATATAGTCCAAAGAACCGGATTATAGTTTTTACCATCTGTCACAAAAGTCACTATGCCCTTATATCAAAAAAAATGTGTTAAGAAATTACATTCACATGATAAAATTCTTAAAACCCACCGAAAATCTTCATCCATACCATGCTTGATTTCAGACAATTGCGAATTGAAACGCACTGCCTGTCGCAAAAACGCTTGAGTGATGTTGATGTTGAAGGTACTGAGTTCATCTGTAATGAAAGTGAACAGAAAACGACTGAAATTAATTTTTTTTAATAGTGATCACTGCTCAAGTATGCATCTGACAAAACACTACAAAAAGAACTGAATACATTATCAGTAAGAAATAAAATGTAACACATAATTACGACATGCATGAAATATCCCTCTACCAGTTTTAACAAACATAAAGATACAAACACACGAATAATCAAATATAACCAGTAATCTCTAATAAATCAACAAGCTACTTAATTGTTGTACTATAATAAACTAAGAAAATTGAATGTTGAAGTTTACCAGCAAAAACATCTATAACTGTAGTGCCGTTTTTGGTAACCACTGTCAACTGTTTCAATTCCCAGTCTTCAATTAATGGTTCCCAACCAAAAATATTTTGATTGAAATAATCCGCGATAAATGTGAACGAGGCATTAATTTTCTCTAGATATCGATTCAAACAAAATCCTAGAAGCATTTTTTAAGTCAAAAAACTATTTCTGAAAAAAGATCACGAATAAGACATATTTTGAAAAATACTCAGCATCGGGTAGGGTAGAAATGATTGTAATGCAGAAAAGGTTTCAATGTTCATCAAGAATGCGGTTTCGTACTACTTAATCTACCAACAGCATTCAATCACTGCCGGCCGTATCTCAAAAACTTTTTAAACGTATGCATCGATTTTGAAAATAAACTAAGAAAGGACGAGATGTCTATTATTATTAACAAATGGGAAAGCTCTTGTACGAAAAAAAATGAAAATAATTCATGGAAGTATAAAACAAACTTTTAAATTTGCATCGAATAAGCGGAAAAACTGTGTTTTGATGATCATCCATTAACCAGAAGGCAATACAATTGCCTTTTACGATTGTACGAACAACATTAATAAATGCGTCTTCTGCAAAAGAGAAGCAAAATAAGCGAGTTTAAAACTTGATATTGCCATATAAAAAGCTATAAAATTTCCGTAGAATCGGTAGATTAAAAAAAATTTTACCTTTTTTAGTCAAATGGGTATCACATTTCGGAATAACGTTTTTTTCTAGTGACTTATTCAACCTCTTGAATGACGAAGCGAAGACGTTTCGCATCACGCGAAGATCTCGGTAGGATACCCTTGCCACCATATCACTGATTTCAACCTTTAGAAATATTAATTCAAATATAACCAATCAGAACATGAAAATATTCCTAAAGTTTCACTACCAGATTTTCTAAAATATGAAATAGATGTGAAGCAACATTTTTTAATATACAACAAAAAACAATAGAAAACTTACAACAAGTTGATGTTTAATAGGAATAATTGAACAGAGTCCAAGTTTTAGAGGCTGTCCTTCAATGTCTACATCATCTTCTGAAAGGCTGAGTGTCACCGAGAAATCATTCGTTAATTGACACCTGCTTTCATTTTCAGACATCATCATAAACCAGTCCAAGTTAACTTGCTATAAAAACCATATTAAAGCTTGTTAATCTGTATAAACAGTAGTAAAGAAAGCAGAACATTAAACTCACCTGTATCTCCAAATTAATATTCAACAATTTGCGTACGTCGTTCATATTCAAGACAGCAGTAGTATGAGCCACAAGGGCCAAACTGTGCAGAGATTCTGGCTTCTCAAGAAGTATCAAATCACATTCTTTTAGTGTGATTTTTAATGAAAAAGTCCGTTCCATAGACTCACGGATTTGTGGATCTCGCTCCATAATTCCTGATTTCGTTGTGTGCGCAATGCCTCGGTATGCATTTTCCACTACAAAAAATATATTAAAGCTCACTATTTTACTGGTGATACTTATACTTTTGAAAGCGAATGATTTATTTTTTATTATGTATTACAGTGTTTCACCAAAACTTTGGTATGCAATAACCTGGCGGTATGAAATCAGAGTGAAGAAGAACAAAATTTTTCACATCATTGAGCCAATCCAGTAGCAAAAGTAATCGTGCATTTAATAAGACCAGTGTAATTACGGGTGGTTCATCGCATTTAAAAATAATATGAGCTTCGGACATAAGTTTACTTCTGAAAATGAAAAAATATGCATATTATATAACAAATTTTCAAAATAAGAAATATTAGGCCCACTTCATTTGCAGTGCAAACTGGAAATGAGATCAGAAAATTTTTGAACCAGATCATTAGCTAACAGAAGAAAAAAGTTAAAATTCGCAACCACAATAATGGATAATTTGCTGCACTAACTCCGCTTGATGAATAAAAGTCAATTTTGCGGATCAAGCACTATTTTATTTTCAAAAAGATTTGGGTTACCACTGAAAGAGAACAAGAATGAAGTTAAAATAGTAAAAGCAGTGCAATGGTATTTTGGTCGATGCCATTCATTCATCATTATCTAAAGTACAAAGACCAAAATACACGCACTTCATCAGTTAAGGAATAATTATCTCACAAAACTGAACATGGCAGAAACGCACCTGCTCGAATCCCCCTTGGGCAACGGAAAAAGAACTGAGTAAAAAACATTTGGCCTCTTATCAAATTCCATATCTGCAAAAGAAAACGTCATATTATCGAGAATTAAGCATATATTTTTTTGACTTATTGACAGAACTAGTATCCCTCTCTGAAAGTTAAGTTCCGTAAGTTTATTTGTTGAAATTTTCGGATAGCATAGAAATCTCATTCAAAAATGATATGTACATTTATTAATAATAAATTCAAAATAATCACATCAAATTTATTAATTTTGACTATTAATTGAAGCTTTCATAATTCTTTCTGTGAAGCATTAATTTTTTCGTAATTACCAAAAAATTGCGTGTCGATAAGTTCAGTACTTTCGCAAATTAAATCCAATTCTGACTGATTATTAATATAGACATCGAATGATATGCGTGAAGAATTCAATTTCACTCCAACTAATGGTGCAAATCCTTGAGAAGGATTTTCGCATTGCACGAAACAATTAAACTGTAACAAAAGTATTGGTTATACAAAACAAACCTAAAATCCAGTTATTAAAATTTTTCTTATCAAATAATGCATTTACCTCAACATTCGTAAGCGTCATTCGAAATGAAAACGATGCATAGTTATTACTCGCTCCAACAACCTCCTGAAAAAATATGGCAGAGTTGAAACTAAAAACTTATGATAAATTTGAGTTTGAACTGGAGGAAAACACCTTCAATACAGTAATATGAAGCAGTGCAAAATGCCTCGGTCTTAAAATTCAATAAAAGTAAAATCTTCCGTTACCAAAATAATAAGTTAAAATATGTTCATGAGCAAATGTACCAATAAATTTGAGGTAACATTATTTGAAAAGTGATTTAAAAACTTTAACTGAAAACTTGCATGCAATTCCGCAGGTTTCTGCAAGACTTCGATTGGGATCGTTTCTGATGCCGGAATTAAAGGATCACCTAAGTTCATCGATAAGAAACCGCGCAGTAATCGATAAAAGTCACTAGTTAACTTGACGTTTAGATTGGCAAGTGATGAAGTAATTACTATGTCTGGTACTAAAAAAATCAGAAGTTATAATCAGCATTATAAAGGCAGAGAAATAATTTAAATGGCGCATAATGAAAAGTGAGGATTACAGTAAGCAAAAGTTCGAAAAATGCATAATACACAAAAAATTTGTTCTATTTTCTTAAAATATTAATCATTTTCAATAAGAAAATGGGCAATTTCCAAGGCGTTAATAAGTTTAGATTCAACATCTGCAAATTATCCTTCAAAAATTTCAAAACGGTTGTCATTTTATTTAACCCGAATAAATTTCCAGTACACATTAAAAACAAAGGAAATTATTTACCTCTGTGCGAAATAAAAATATCCAGATTTCGGAAAATGTCTATTAACAAATTAAAAGGTTTCGAAAGTATACTTTTTCGCGAACTTAAGAAATGGAAATGTTGAAATATATCACAGCATACTCTTTCATAACCTAAAAGTTGATTAGTCATGTGAAATTAAGTAATAAATCGTGTGATAGGCATGTGAAATTAGATATTAAACTCACATAGTTGTGTGATAAATACATTTTCCTATTTTAATTTCTTACAATGTAAGTTGTTCTATTATATTTTTTACTTCTAATTCTTTTTTAATTTCAGTTTGTCGTTTTCATTTTACTATCAATTAACCATATTTCTGAAATTCAGACATTAAATTGGAAAAAAAATTACCCGGTACTTCACGAACTGCAGCTTTGGTGTTCGGTATTCGCAAACCTTCACAAATTGATGTTTCAGTGCAAATAACCGACATCCAATCGATCCAACAATCGTAATCATCATCATCTTAACACTATTTCTGTTATGCCTGTCATTATTTCGAATTTTTGATGTCTTATCAGTTAACACTCTTGCTGAACAAAAGAAAAAATCTTCGATCATACTACAAATAAAGATTAAGTTGCTGAAATTTTCACAGAGAAATTATTATTCATTTCACTGAAAAAATGGACTATCAGAAATTGAAAAAAAAAAAATAAAAAGCACGAAAAACACAGCGAACCAAAAATATTGCCAATTTCGAAATCCTTGAACTTGGAAATTAAAGATGATAACTGGAACTGATTACTGATATGGACATTAGCAGTTTCACAGAGAATCACTTGATTAGACAATTGATTGAGCGGAAGGATAATCATGCACGGACATTCAATTTCACAAATTAGTTGTATTCTGCTTCGCACATCATTGTTCATCTGAGGAAATTAAAAACTTTTCAAATCATGCAGAACGGCGAAAGAAATAAGATAATGAGATATTTCATATTTGATCAGCCAATAGAATGTACAAAGAAAGAAGAGAAATTCAACACCATTAAGAGTACTGCTCGATATTTTAAATATTTAATGCCAAATCAACTTACTCGAATATGTGTAGACGAAACGTTATTCCGCAGAACAATATTCTGTAGTTCTATAAACTGCTGCCAAAAATCCAACAGTGCATTAAAATAGCGATGTGTATGAACATATGCGATGCTCATCGCTGATGGTATTCGTAGCACAATACTCACGTCATATCCTCTAACTGCAGCTGATTTTGCGCACAAACACCTGTAGCCATTAGTTTTAACTACTGACCATTTTTCAAAAATTCAGTCTGTTATTTTTTCATTTTTATACAACGAGTCATATGACTTTGTAATTAAAATGTCATTATTTGAAGTTATTATTTCTTAAATATTAAATAATCGTTAAAGATTTTATAAACAGGAAGAAGTTGTCGATCAAAATAAAAAGTTTAGCACATCTCTTAATAGAAAATCAAATAAAAATTACTTAATAATTTCCACAGTTGCATGAGAAGATAACAAATGTTTTTGCTTTTCATCATCTGAAAAAAAAGTTCGTTTGAACGCTTCGTTCTTAGCTCGAAGACCAATACGTTCGCTATATAATTCTGAATAAAAGGGTGTGCTATCCGATAGTGAACAATTTCCCAGCAATAATGACATTTCCAGTGGTACTTCGTCGTCGTTGATCCTTGCCTATAAATCACCTATTTTAGAACGACAATATCACTTCTACTAAACGCTGATAAGAATATGGAAACAGATCGAGCTTTTGAACTCTTTACATTATTCACAAATGCGCAGAAAAAACAAACATTAGTAAATAAATTTGTCTTGATGATGAGAAATATATAAGATCAAAAATGGACAAATACAAGAAAAAACTTGAATTTTTAATCAAATTTTGCAATAATTCCGATGCTTCACCTGTGCACTAATGAACATTTCCTCTACTCGGATTACACCTAAATGATATTTGCTTCCTGGATAATTCATCGTTATCTGCACCAAGCCGGTACTGACATTCACTTTTATATAATATGGCTCTGCAACCAATAAAAATCGGATGATGATATTAAAACTTAAACACTTATGTGTTTCTCTTTTGTGCAACATTAAGCAGATAATTATCCATTTAGAGTAGCAGTGACTTGATAGAACTGAATTATTCCTAAGATTATTAATATCCAAAATTAGAATTACAAATTCACAATTTTTTCCAATTTTTTCTTTCTATAGTTACTATGTTCAAATTCCTGCTTTTTTCTCGTAAATAGCTCTGGAACAGCCCTTTGCATCTGTAAAGAATGTATACTCAATATGATTCCTTTCTCAAATGTTTTGAATACATAACTTCAAATTAGTAATTTGAAGCAAATACTTAGGAATACCTAAATCTTGTAATACTATATTTGTATCAGCTGCAGATGGGCGTGCTAGAATTTCGATATAGTCCTCTGGAAGCTCCATTTTTGGTTCCAACAAGCCAAAAAAATCGAGTAAAAGTGTATAACTTCGTCGATTCATGCATATTTCTATTTTTGGTATATCCATATTGACCAAACAGCTTATCTATAGACCCAAATGATTCAAAATAAATTCCACAAAACAATATATAGCAATATTTTCTTTTTATTTTAAATTTATTTCTGTCAATTAGATTTGCGAAAAAACCATTATGCATTTGCAACTAGGATAAAAATATCATATTGTAGAACTAAATAAAATTATAATACAAAGCTTTCCAATTAAAAGCAAATCCTAATGTCAAGGTCTGCTGTAAATGTATGCCGTAAAGTTATTGTTTACATGCGATTATGAACAAGTAAAGCAACAAATAAATAAAGTACTCACTTTTTTATAGGTAGATTCAAAGGATGGGTGCTTTTTATCAATTAACAGAAGTGTGAAACGACAAGCACCAAGAACGTTAATATCCTTTAATCCACTGCTGTTGAGGGCAGCACTTTCCCGTGAGCTTCTTAATCTTTCATTTTTGGTATCCATTGTGATATGACGCGAACTTACGCCTGAATTTCAAATTCATTCATATATCTTAAAATATATTTAGGTAATTAGAAATGAAACACATCTGCAATTTTCAATTCGCTTTCTGATAAACAAAAAATTTACTGAGGCTACGTTTATGCTGTCGAAATGAAGGTCGGAACCATAAGTCGTCAGCATCCAAAGTTGGACATGAAGTGGACATTTGTTTCTAAATATTATCCATGTAATCGTAGAGTCGTCATTACTAGAGAAATAAAAATTGTGCTTTATGTTTTACAATAAAAAAGTGAAATTAATTACATCAAATATAAAAATCTACAAAAACCTTAAGAAAGGAAGCTTGACTTCTTATGCATAATAGTGAATCGGTTGTCGGTTCAAACAAATCTTTAACTTCCAACGAACCAAACTCAATTTCAACCTTAAATATTACAGCAGCTATTGGAATACTTAATCATTTTTCCAATCTTGGTATTAAAGAATAAAGCTTACACCACTCTGTAAAGATGGCTACTTTAAAATATGTTTTTAGCAGAAGAGAGCTTTAAATGGATCCTTTTAACTTCATACCGTTGTAATGAATTGCTCTCTGTTTGATATTCCAACTATTAGATGCTTTACATCTGCCAGAGCGAATGGTGTTGACATTGCTGATTTCTTTTTTAGATCTAATAAATTTCCTCGTTTGCTACGCAATTCCACTTTTAGCTATAATTTGGAGATAATTTATTTGGGAATTTTCATTAAAAAAATTCCGAACCTTTCTTCATAAACGCATGCTGCAAAATAATCCTATTTTTTTCCACATCATCAGCGTGAGTACGTTAAAAAAAGAAAAAAAATTTCTAATATTCTGGAACTTAATATAAGGAAGTTAAAGATTAAAATCTTAAACTGAATGAATTTATTGAAAGACATTTGACACCTCTGACTATTTCGTCTTCATCTAGATAATAGATTGCATCACTACCAATACAAATTATGATTACCTGGGGACAATGAATGGCGAAGTCAATGATAGTGATAACATCCATCAGTATAGGGTCGAAATTTTTATCCTGTAATAAATGCAATTACTTTTTTGAAAGCAAATTACGTTTTGATATATCATTTTATAACCAAAACTTGGATCTATTCAATAGCAATCTTATTGTAAGTCCCTTTTTTAAACTAAGATAACTTGGAAATCTCACTATAATTAATGTTTTTTGTAAATTTATACATTTCAAAAAAGTATATACATATTAACCATTCAATTGAGGTAATGAAACTTGCTATCAGCTATATAAATAAAAGCTATTTAAATACCTGTTTTATTTCGTTTTTGTCGCTGAAAAAAGTAGCTAAATCATCAAAAGCACCTTCATTATACAATACTGATAATTCACTGCACCTTACATCAAGCGTGTGTGTCACCACCATCTTTGGAGCACGGCGATGATATGATAATCTTCAAAAGAAAATTCGTTTGTTTTGAAAATATCTTTAAATAAAGCTGACAACCTCTCAAAAAAATTTTTCATTATTTATTTAATTCAACGAAAAAGCATTATTCCATGCTTAAAGAGAAGTACTTTATCAACAGGAACAATTAAGAAACGATAAGAGACATATCTGCAAAATTTAATATAAAATATAGAAAGAGAATTTACCGAAACAGTGCATTATCCAAGTCACTGTTTTTGGCACTATCTAAAGCATGTGAACCGCCAGTCTTTCCAGCCTTCCCAATGGCAAATAATATTTGAGTGGTTTCTTTCGCAAATCCGAACATCAATGATTCACTTTCTTGTTTATCGCTTTCATCTAGAACAATAAACTGATGACCTTATACTGATGTTACTATTCCAGTTTTTTTTTTTTTCACAGTGTGAATTATACAATTATAGAAAGAAAAAAAATTAACCATTTTGTGTATTTTCGACCGACATATCTTCCGCAGGAAAAGTGCACAACCTTTGTAGACTCAAATCAGCAACAGTAAGTGACATAGTTGTACTGTGACGACGTGGGCTTAGATGAACACAGCTTGCTAATTGCCATAGGTCCATTGCCAGCACTCGTGTACTTCCATCTTTTTGATTCTAAATATTTGCACTCGAATGTCTTTTTTGATTTAAATACATTTTTTACTGATATTCTGCTATTAATGAAGTTCGTTTTAGATTTTATTTTGCAGTTTTTTTTGTGCTCGCAAAAATGGAGTGATTAGAAAGTGAAATACTTTAGTATTGAATGATTTCGATGTGTTATTCGAATAAACTTAATAATTAGGCTGCTGTCAATGTCCACATTGATCAGATTATTTTAAAAGTGATGGAAATTTGCGGCAAATTACCTCAAAGTCATCTGTGAAACGTATGGTCATCCTTTCTAGTTTTAATTTTACTTCCGCTAGTAGAGTATCACGATGTAATATGGTTGAATCATCCCTGCTCTCGTTCAGCACATCCAAAATTTCATCCTCAACCTTTAATATTTCCTATATTTCTAGCAATAAAATTTTCCAAGAGTTAAGAGATCTTTTTAAAAAAAGCTACAAAAAATCTGTATGTAAAGTGTTTTGCCTGTTTTTCGACCAGCTTAAAATCTGTGGTTAACGAGCTTTCCTTTTCAGTGCTGGATAATTCATCGAACACAGACTCATCACGACCGTTTTTTTCTGATTTTGCTTCTTCTTGAAATTTTAAGTTTAAATGTTTAATTTATCAGTATTTTAATCAAATACCATCCCAATCTCAAAGAATTTAATGCTTCTTTCTTGATTTAGCAAGCTAAATAGTTTCTAAACAGAAGTGGTGCCAGCTGAATGTTAGATGTAATAATGACTCATTTCGATCAGTGACAAATAAGGAATAAGCCAAAAAAATGCTGAAACCTTTTCGTGGACCATATATCCAATTACTCAGCCAACTGTACAATCCGCCACCAGAATTTTTTGCTGTTTCCTCGGAATGTGAATGATTACTACTAGTTGTTCGATCAGTATCTGAGTCATGACGAAGTGCAGCTAAAAATAAGCATATATTTTATTTACGTAATTCTTCTAAAAACGATATATTAGACATTCCCCAAGTTTGATGTACAAGAGAAATAAGCATTTACACTTCACTATTCCAAAACTAGACTCACGAAATTCGATGTTCTCAAAGCTTTCGTCATCCGACTGCAGTCTGTTTTCACTACATGAACGTCGTGCTTCTTTTTCAGCAAGGATCCGCCGATACACTGTTTCGCGAAATAATTGCAATTCCTAAAAAATAATTTTATTAGATCTGAATTATTCAAATTAAATTTTATTCAGTAATGTTTACTTCAGTATTTTCCCATTATTTGATAACGCTAGTTATATGTAAACTTAAGAATTAATATGGTGTCATACATACGGATAGAAACACCATAAAATCAAAATTTGCAACAGAAAATTCGAAACTAACGTGATAGGTATAATTGGAATCTCTTTCGATCTGTTTCATCAAAATTAAATCCTCGGAGTTTGCAGTTCTTTTTAAAGAAGCAGTGGTCGATAAATTTGAACTTATGGCAGTTCTCACTTCTTCCGTAGGTTCTATATCATAATTTTGGCGAGAAACATTTCCAAAATGTGATGTCTCATATTTTTCATTAAATTTATTTGATTGACCAGTGGTCTGGAAAAAAATATTGCTAAATAAAATAGAATTTTTCATAGTAAGATAAAATTATATTAGAGTAGATTTCAAGCCAATTCTGTCCCTACACATCAAATTTAAAAACAGTATGGTTATAAAAAATTAGTTCGATATAGATTTAGAATACAATGGCATGAAAAAAAAATAGAGAGCCATACGGAAACTGCAGCTGTCTCCAAATACGATAATAATCTCCGTCGATAAGCTCGACAATATGAATTCAGTTGCTTTGCACGATTATAAGCAAAACTCCAAGTGTGTCGCGTTTTTCGTTGCCTTTCTTGATCCTGTATACGATTGTATGCAAAATTCCACCACTCTTTTGCACTGAAAAAATATTCTTATAAAGATGAAGGCTTCGGCCTCTTCGATACAGCATGTTCTTATTTTTCATCCTATGTTTGTTCCTCCGCACAGAAAAATGTGACACTACTACAAGTTTTGATCTTTTATTGGACACTACACTACATACACCTACTTTTCGCCAACAGTAGTTAATGGTCGCCATTTTCGATGTTGTCTTGATCTGTCAAATCGAGCCCATTCATTTCCTAATGAACCCATTTCCAAGAGTTGTCGTTTCGTAAGTTCAATTATAACTTTTTCAGGACATAAATTAAACTGCAAGAAATATAGTGAAAAAAGTCGACCAGTCAATACCAATATATTTCATTTTCAAATAATTGTATTTTTAAGCGACAGGTCCCTCATGTCTCCGTTAATTATTCAAATTTTTGTTGGAAGTACAAAAAAGAAAAAAACTTTCAACCTACCCGAGCATAACGAAAATCTAAAACAAGCTAAATTCATCATAGTTTACAGCGCTGATAAAACCATTGTTTATAGGACTCAAACAAAAAATTTGAGGACTTACTTTGAATCTAGGAATATAGGGGTACGTTTTCAAAGGAAATTTATTTGTATTCCTTTCCATATATAAATGCCCGTTGAACGGTTGAAGAATGCATACATCATCTCTGTTGATTTCTGGTGCCATCATATACTTAAATTAATAATGCAATAAACAAAATCTTTAAAAGTTTGGTCTTGATGAATATAATACATCATTTTTCACCGAGTATGACTGGTACCAGAATTTTTTTAACCGAAAAAAAATGAGAAATTCAACCTGCAGATCCATGTGATTTTTGATCTCTTCAGTGACTTGCTGTCCGCAATTCCAGTACACCGACAAACCTTCTATTTCTAATTTCTTAAACATATTTACACCATCTTGAGGCTGTATGTATCCAATTCCCTAAAAATATTAATTCTAATTCAATCTTCCGTAATGTAAAACACATCTTGTTCAAATTCAAGGCTATCAAAAAATATTAGAAGCTGAAAATGATAGAAAAGAACTTTAAATATAATGATAGCAATAGCTATATAAAAAGTAATGGAGGTGTTCAATTCCTTAATTTTTAAAAATTTTTGATTACCATTTTAAAGTCCGATATTCTGTTTATTTTTTTTCTCATATTTAAGTAACAAGTCCAATATTTTTGAAAGCACTAGATAAAAATGAATGATATCAGTGATGTATAAAAATTATTGTTCAAATATTTAAAGTATTATTATCACCATGATACAAACTACAAGCACTTAACAAAAAAGGTTTTAGAACCATAAGAATCTACAGCAGAAAAAAACCATTTGCATTATTTTAAAATAACACACCCAATGTGAATCTGTAGTTTGCATGCTGACATTATGTATACGCACACCACATACAAACGATTCATTGTTCGATAACGTCCTATCATCTTCATATCGTATATGAACATTAGATAGAACTAACTGCAAATTAAAAAAAGCAAAACATGATCACAGTTATTTTCGATTTTCTTGCTCATAAGCAAGAAAATTCATTATGACATTATAATTATTTATTTGCAAGAACATGCAACTACTACTCTAAATTTCAGAAACTCAACGTTCTGAAACTGAAACAGTTGCATGATTAAAATACAAGTTTATGGAAAAATTTCTAAAGTACCTGAATATTATTAACGATGGTTGATACCAACGAAGCCCCCCACCAATTCTGCTCCGATGAATTGTCATGATTAGGCAAACCCCAATAACTTAGCAACTGCCTCTGCAAATGATCCTATTAAAAAAATTTTACTCTTCGTTTTAAAAATCTGATTCATAAAAACCTTGTCAAATTAAACGATATCGACAAAGATGAAAAGTTGTATAAATTAAAATGAGCCACTAATAACAAGTTCAGCGACAATATCACTTAATCACGAGACTTATGCCAGTAAAAATTCCCTGGCTTATGTTGTTACTATTCGCAATTTTTTAAAATTCGTGTGTTCCAATGTTCGCTTCATTAAAAATTATATCTTTTGATTTGCAAATCTCAATAATTTTCAATTTTTTTTATACATATATTTAGGAAAATCATTTCTTCAATTTGGTTCTCGCACCGATTAAATCTCTCGTTTGCTTTGCCATCAGCTTTGTTTTCGTATATTTATACACAAATTCTCTTCTCTTCTGTAAGTGAATCTCCTAATATTTTTTAATCATTTCGTCCTTTAATAACCTCTCTTAATACATTTCATCCACATTCACCTTCTTAACATTTACTAAAACTTCTAAGTGTCATCACAGGAGCGTTTCGCTCCCATCGCGGGTCGGACATACTTTTTAATTACCTAAGATGAGCGTATTTATAATGCTCAAGTCAGCACTTCGATTGAAGTCACCGAGCATTTTTAAAAAATTTCCAATTAATTAAACAAATATTGCACATACACTTCGCTTTGGTTTTTCACTTTCGGAGATATGAACTGTTTCTCAATTTTCTCATGTTCGGAGTTGGTATTCAAGTTTTTTATTTCGGCGAAATTCGTTTTATTAATCATTTTACTAATCAATTCTAATTCTAGTATCCATTCAAACATTAGCAGTTTAAAAATCAGAATTTCTGATTAAAGAAATATGGAAGCAAAGGTGAAGAGAAAAATGAATCCAAACCTTATGATATTTTTCTAGATCCTCTAGTTGCTGTTCCTTTTTAGCTTGCTCATAGATTTCCACATTCTCAACATCATATCGAACCGATGGGGATAGTTCTAGAAGTACCAGTAAGTCGCTCATTTTGATAACCCATGGTTCACTTCGCAGTCGCGTTAATGGTACCGATAGTGTAAGTTTCCCAAGCAAGCCAGATTTCACCTCAAATGCAGATTTCATCTCAAATGCTACTGGGTAAGGAAAATTCCGCATTAGCATTAACATAGCAATTCTAGGTGGAACAATTCAAATTGATCACACCAGTTGAGAAATGAAGTAAATTTCAAAAGAACAAATTCTTTTTCTCTGAACTAGCTTCATCGGTGTAGATGCCACTGTATTTTGTAGTGACAGCATTAACTAATACAGGATGAATGTATATCTTTATGAAAAGTACCCAATTACGAAAAGTATCCAACAAAGTGGGATATCGAACATGGGAATAAACAACATAGGTTTCATCGATAGAAAATGGATGCTAGAAGTGCCTTTTGAATATATTGGTATTTTGATAATTAACTGAGAAACATTGCAACAATGAAAAAGTTTGTAATGCCTTGGTTACCTTTAGTGGAACATCAAATTTACGCAAAGCCGATTTCTTCAACGGAACATTTTCCAATTCAACCTGTCCTGAAATCAATCATTTCATTAAATTATATATTGAATCTCAGGTTGCTTTTAAAAACAATTCGTTTAGAAAAAAATTACCAAACATGTTATTTTTCGGAAATACTAAAAAAATATTTTTTTTTTTAGAAATTGTTTTTTTTAGAATTTTTTTTTAAAAATTTGAAAAGCATTAAAAATGATCAAATGATGGCATTGAAGCAGTGACACACCTTGCAGCAAAGCTATGCTCAATTGGTCAGTATTCAAATTCTCCAAATATTCCCCTACATAATTATTAAGAACCCAAGCGACCACGTTTTCCAGCATTTCCTAATCAATCCTTTCGTATTTCTACCTGAAAAGTGACATAATTCAGCTTCGGATGGAATTTATTTTAAAAGTCGTAGAACTACATTTCTTGTCTAAACTTTAGAATATGTGTGAACAACAAGTAAAAATCGTATTCATGCCGCATTAAGTAAAATATCGTGTCGCGATCATATCAAAAGAAAAAAACAAAGCAGCTATTGAATTAAGTAAAGAAGAGCCAGAGAGTTGACTTATTTAAATTTATAGTACTTTCTTTGAGAATCAATTTCTGCATTGATAATGCTTCAAATAATTTTGAAAATTGAAAATATAACACAGTGCAAAGCTGAAAAACATCCAGAAATAGTGAGATAATACATACTGCTCCAACACGATACTCTCGCAACCTCCTTACCGCCCAGAAAAAAATTTTAAAAACATAGAAATGAATATACGTGACGGCCATTGGAGATCATACGAATATGACCTGTCTCGCTACGAAATTCTCAGTACCGCGTGGTTAATTCAAGTTAGCGTCGTGTGATGCAAATATGATGTAAAAGTTGAGCTACGAACACGACGTAAAAGTGGTTCGGAAAAGATATTATGAAGTACGTAGCAATGACGAGTATCCAAATTTGAGCATCCTAGCGTTGCAGAAATAGATTGAAACATTGTTTGACCGTATTTTTTTATTCGATTTTAGATTGTGTAGCAGAAAAGGTATATTAGGATGGGTATGGTAAATATACAAAGTCATATTTTTTTGACGCTAGCACTGACTGAGTACGTCACGACAACGTGTCACAGATATTTCAACTTCTTCAAAAGGAAACGAAACTTCTAGCAAATTATTTTGCAGTGAATGGGATAGGATGATATGTGCTGATCGGTATACTCTTATATTTATTCAACAATTTTTGTTAAAAATATGATACATATTTCACGTTTATCAGCATCATTAGGAGCTCCATCATTGCTTTTATCATTGATAAGCCAATTAATTTGTACATTGTCCACCTGAAATAGAATGATAATTTCGTTATGAAACATGAAATTGATATAAAAGCTAATGTGCTATTTGTATTGCTAAATTCTGCTCTTTCATTTTAATCTAATGAAATCATATACGACAAATTTGAAAGATTTTTTTAGAGCTGAAATTGATTCTCGCAATATTACAACGTATTTAACACTTAGAATTATTAACGAATATGCAATGAAGTATACTGGTTTGAGAAGACGAGAGTTTTAAAGAAGAGAGGTCTGATGATGGGAAGGAGAAATTGGCCAGTTGAGAGGAGTTGTCATTGAAATTGATCATCTTATACTACAGAAGGTTCAAAGTTTCGAAATTGATTAGTCTATAGCTATTCGACATTTGAAACAAATTAAAAAAATGAAAAGCTCAAAAGTAAGCGCATTTAATCGATAATCGAAAAAATTGGTTACTGAAAGTATTTCATTCTTTCATACTGCGCAACAAACATTTTTGATTAAATTGTAACACGTGACAAGAAATGGATCGAATGACAACTGCAATGACCATTTTAATGGTCGGGCAGAAAAGTTGCAAATTCCACCTCAGTTAAATTTGCCCAGAAGAGGTTGTGATTAATTGTTTGACCATCTGTTATTGCTACAATCTTCTGAATCACTCGAAATCAATGACTGCTCTGAGAACTATTCTCGGCAAATGTGTTGACAACTTTAAACCCTTATGGCCGGCAATAGAAAGTAAAAAAAGCTCAATTCATGATAATCTGTCATACACATTAAATTAGTAGTTCAAGTGAGCGAATTGAATTACGAAATTAGCGCCTAACCGCCATATTCACATGACTTTTCGTCAACTAACTGTCATCCGTATAGTCATCTCAACTACTTTTTGTAAGATAGATCAACAAATCTCGAAACATGGCGGCATCGTTTCTGCGTTACAGTAATACATTTTCCTTAACAAAAATATGTTAATTGCAATAATTTACAATTCAATTAACAAATATGCATTTAATTCTAACTACATTGATTTGAAATTGACAGTCAAAAGCGCAATTATTTTGCATCGATCTAATAGGTTATTGCATAATTAAGTGAATTAGGCATATAAATTACACATCCTTTGTTAATTACCTTCAGGTAATTTACGCATTATATTAAGATCGTTAGCCATGCTTTTTGCTCTCCTATATAGTTTTTTTTTTTTTTTTTTTTAAAAGATAATGGCAAAACCTGCCTTGGGATATTCTTTTAGTATGGCAACACCTTGCTCATAGTAGTATGTTTGGCCTTCCATGAGCGGACATGTCAGGTTACCGCCTTTGCAGGCATCTTTTTGTCCTAAATTGAATGATACTATGACGCTGTTGGCAATTTTTGCGCGTACTGTAGTTTCAAGACTCTCCGTTCTTCTTGCTAAAATAGATTTGAAAAAAATATATTAGCAAAAAATTTGAACGATGGTATCAGTCATTGAAAGTAAACTTCATATTCTTCATAGAATAATTAACCACCTGTTGATTAAATATTTAGTTTAAAAAATACAACGTTTGATTTATTTTTTTTTGCCACACGTCTTAATTATACATATGTAATTAATTATACATGTGAATGAATATCTAATAGGAGCAATTAAATTTTTGATTTCGAAATTACTTTTTAAAAATATCATTCTAATTTTCTGCATTTCAAAATTTTGAATGAATTTCAATTAAAACAGTCATGGATAAATTTTTTATTGCTATAAATGTTTGAAGGGTGTGATAATAATTGATAATACTCAGTTGCATTTGGTTCGGATAGCTCACTTCCTTGTATTAAATATTTTCGGATCCTTAGTTTATTACATGAGCAAATTAAATTTTTTTTCTTGAATTACATTTTAAGTTTGACCTAAGAAGTTATTCGAATTTATTTTGTGCACGAAAAATGGATATAATATATTAAGAAAAAGCTCTCACTTGGCACAAATTCGATCCGTAAATGCGGTGTTGTGCCTTTTTTGAAAGCACAGTGATTCTGCGATGAGCCCACACATCCATCCACTTCTACGTTTACGATATTAAATGCCGATTCTAAAAAGATAACAAACTTAAGAAATAAGCCGATATCTGTGCTAGTACCAAAATATCTTGATTATTAAGAGTTCAATTAAAAGATGTAAAGGTTGCTGCCTGAATAATTTGATGCAATTAATACATTAATACTGATAAATTCAAATTTATCAGACAGCTTTGCTTTCTGCTGTCAGGTAATTGGTAGCTAACATGAAGTATTTACTAGGTGAACTTTCAACTTAAATCTCACTCTATCAAATGCTCCGAAATTACAACTTCAAAAATCAACAATTTTTCAAGAACTTACTACAATTTTTGAACTTAATTTTCTGAAAATCTGCGTGTAAGGGAAGTGCAATTAATAAGAGCGGAAATATAACTGTCAGAAATGCTGCTGCCATTATTCTGAAAATTAAAAAATTCCCTGAATCCATAATTTCATTCTTTATAATAGCAATTAGTAAAGAATATTTCTACAGTCTTATAACTGGTGAAGTTACAGCCAAGAAACAGAAAAGTGAAAGTCAAATAAGTATTGTTGAAGCCTAAAAATATGTCTAAATTAAAATTAGGATGTCAAAAGTTTAAGAGAATTTGTCAGGAGAAAATGAAAGGATCAGAAATAAATCAGTGAATGACTAGAAGAAAACCTATTTGAAACAAAATATATTCTTCTAAAAATGACGAAAGACTTTCCTCCTCACAAAAAAACTTTATATCACTCATTATGATCGCCGTACACACTGCATCTATTCTTAAATATTTAAAAAAAGAATCATTAAAATTTCTAAACTACCTAAGCTTGGATTTATAGTTTCAAACAATAAATTCAGCATTCCATCGGTTCAAATAGATAAATGGTTTTGAAGAATTTTTTAAATTGAAGCAAATATTGCACATACACTTCTTTCTGCTATTTATTTGCCATTTTCAGGAATGTGAACCATTTTATAACTTCCTCATATTTGCAGTGACACTTCAATGACACTTCAGTGTGTCAATGTTTTTGAACTTTAATCGAATAAAATTTCTTCAATAACAACTTTCAAACTTGCATTATTGATCAAAACACACGCAAGATGCATTTCAACCCAATAAGTTACAAATCAAAACAATATTATTGTTTTTTTTATTCAGGTGAAAAAAAAAAAATTAAATTAGATCAGAAAGTTTCACAATTTTCTGCAACGATTATTTCCAAACATTTTACATCTCAAAATGACGAATAGTATTAACGCTTACACTGCTAAGTAACGAAAGTGAAAATTTAATGTGAGCTTCATATAACTGGTGAAAATGAAAGGCAGGATGTATCCATCCGATCAATGCATTCAGATAAAATGAAAAACATTGTTAGTGGATATGGGCTAAATTTCAAAGTATTTCGTTAATTTATCATTGCTTTAAAATAACAGCTTCAGCAAATGGACAGACGGAAGGTAATCATTGAAGGTGGATGAAACAAATTTTAATCAATAAACTCTTTCTTTCACTTTTAGGATTTCTTTTTTTAATATCACAGCTAAATCACTTTATGTAAGTGTTCTTGAGCTTGCAAGAGTCCAAAGTATGCAATATTACATCAAAAATTCTCCTATCTCCTCTATTATCCTATAAAATAAACGGTCTACATATATCAGTATTAATTGATTAACTGTTTTAATTCCTCCAAACTCAACCAATTATATTTTAACTGCTTATTTTCGTGAATGTATGATGGTTTATAATTGCGTAATTAATTGCACAAAGTTAACCGCAAAAAAAGAAAAAAGAAGTGAATATTAACAAAACTATCCAACCAGACAACATTCTGACATGTTACAACAACAGTAATGATTTGGGGTAAGGAGTATTTTTAGGTTTGAAATGAGTGTTTCAAAACTTCTAACGAAAGTACATTTTCAGATGATTTTTTTGTGTGAAACTGCAAATGTCATTAATCAAGTTCTTTTAAACTATCAAGATTTTTTTTTCTTGTCTTACGTAGTTTATTCGAGAATTCATACTGACTGTATTCAAGTTAACATTTCCAAGTTAGCATATTTGAAATTATAAACTTCTGCTGGATAAATGAATGTTAAATACGCATAATTTAGTAATAATATATTTCAAGCTAAAGATCAGGAACCGAATTTTTGGCGTATATAATTGAAATAAGTTCATTTTGTTCTTAGTGAACGTCAGAGTAGCTAATGAATAACTTTGACTGCAGAGATAAATATCTGAGTGTTGAATTCGACCGAAATTTACCGCACTATTGCCCGAACTCATAAACGAACGCTTTATTAGGCTATATCTCCTTCGATTTCAATTAATTCATTAAAGAAAAAAATGATTCGGAAATTAGTAGTGGATATTTTCGAATTTGCTTTAACAATAATTGTGAATTGGCAAATAGCAAAAAAATATAACTATTTTAAAACATAGGGAGGTCTTTTAAGCAAAAAGATTTTTTATGAATAATTCTCAAACATACTGATATTTATTAGCATTTTAACATATTATTTTAATTAATTACATTATTAACAAAATACTCTTTAATATTTACTCTTTGCAAATATTTTTTGTTTGAATTACTGTGCTCTATTTTTTAAAACTTAAAAGAACTTTTGAAAGTAATCCGAAAACAAATAAGTTACTTGGCAAAAGCATTTGTAATGAAACCATATGAAATATATTGAAAAATGTTATTGAAAAAATTTGCTATGATCAAACAAATTATTCGTTTGAAATAAACGATATTTGGTTCAGCAGTTACTTCACAAAAAATATGGTTTGAAGAATGGAAAAATGAACAAAAGAGAAGCATTATCATAAAGATGAAAAGAAGTAATGTCCCGTCCATTTCTTTTTTTCAAAACTATTAACGAAGAAAAGAAGACAAAAATTTTGCTTTTTATCTGTAATTAAAATAATTATAAAAATAATAGAACTTGTTAGCATATAGTTAAAAGGATGCAAGCATAAATAATCTTTGAAATATATAACTTAGCCTATAGCAGTATTGAATGAGAATCTTATCTGTTCAGTATACATACTCAAATAATCACATCAACATAAAAAAGAATTTCCCAATCTCAGATCACTACTTTGTTTTAATTTATTATTATTTTGTTATTGTCTTAATTGATAATGTTAGCTTGAAAAGAGCTTTTCTTAATAAATCGAAAAAAAACCAATTGGAAATAATCAGTTGATGTTTTTCATTGGTACTAACGATAGATGAATCATATTTATTCAAGTAGACAAAGTTGTTGCATAAAGGGTTATGAAGTAAGGTATGAGTGGTTAGCAAGGAGGGACAGGAAATGGGTATTTCATGAGATGGGAATGCGGGGTTATCAATCATTCATGCTGCTCGTTTACTTGTTATTACTTTCAGACTTTCAGTTTTTACTGGAGGCATATTTCGCGTTTGCGTCATATGGCCAAGTATTGCTTAAGTAAGTATTTCCAATTTCGTCGAATTAATTCATCTTTACATGTTTGGCATTCGTTTATATGTCTTTTTCCTTTTCCTCTTTGCAGAAAAACCAAGTAAGCGACAAGCATGTGCGAAACGTTATAAAATAGCGAAGAAAGTCAGGGAACATAACAGGAAACTTAAGAAAGAGACGAAAAAAAACAGTAATATTTGCACTGTTATTTTTTTCTACAATTTTTAATTTTTGAGATTCGGAAAGTCAAATTTGTTTTGCTCTTCTATCAAAGAGAAATGTAAAAATGTAATCATCCTGTTTTTTTCCATAGCTTTATGCATTTTCTGATGATAAATTATTCTCCATCATCACTTATCAAACTTTGTGTTTTTATGCTGTGAATCGTTTATTCTCTACAAATTTTCTTACAATCATTAAATATTATGTATATTTTTAGAAGCGAAAGTGTGGAAAGCCAAAAATAAGCCAATAAATGTTCCAAACAAATGCCCATTTAAAGAAGAAATATTGTTGCAAGCAGAGAAAGAACGAGAACGCATTGAGTGTGAGAAATGTGAGAAGAAAAAAGCTATGAAGCAGAAGCATCCCGATGTGACAAGGATTGGCGCGAAGCGCAAGTGTATATCTGGTGACTTGGCTACACTGGCTTTGAAGGTTACAGAACAAGTCACTTTGAATCTTTTTTTAAATATGTATTTTCTCTCATAAATTCTGCTTATACCTTAGCGGGAAAGCATGATCAAGGTAAAAAGTTATCGAAATTGTCGATTTAAACTGCATGGTTGCAGTGAAACTTTTTTTAGTGTTATTTAGTTTGATTTGGACTTCCCATATGTGCATTCATTTGTTATTCAGATGAGAAATATTTGATTCTATATTGAAATTTCCATTTTGAAGGCGGAAGGAATGTCGCAACATTCTGAAAATCAAAATATGGGAAATTTAGAAGAAAATCGCGAAAAAATGCAGAAACAATATGCTAATGAAGTTCGGAAAATTGTTGAATCTGCAGATGTTATTATTGAGGTCTGTTACAGTCTAAATAATGTGAAACAATGCACAAGATGTAACTGAAAGGTCTTAATAAGCTGAGGAAATCAGAGAGACGAGTTTAAGATATTCTACGATTGACTTAATCATGTTCTAAGTCGTTTTTACAGTGAAATGATTTACTTATTGATATTTTGAATTTTTTAATATATGAAGTGTAGATAGCTATTCGAAGATGAATGTTTAAATAAGCAAGTAACGGTAATTAATCTTTGAAATGTCAGATAATCTTAGAAAACAAGCGTATGTTTTCAGGTGCTTGATGCCCGAGATCCATTAGGGAGCAGAAACAGAAGTGTCGAAGCAAGTATTCTAAATGCAGGAAAGCGACTTATTTTGCTTCTAAATAAGATTGATCTCGTACCGAAAGAAAATGTGAAGAAATGGCTTGTGTATTTGCGGCAACAATCGCCAACTATTGCTTTTAAAGCTTCAACTCAGGAACAGACTCGTAATTTGGTAACCTTCCGCTAAAAAATTGATGAATTCCTTGCTCCATGAAGTAAATAAAGCAAACATGATTTATAAATTAATATTTAGTTGAAGAAGTTGAAAGCTGGTTTTCTGGATTGTAATCGTTTTTTTAGAAATAACAAAAAATGACATATATCATTTTTTTCAGGGACGTTTCAGTTCATCAAATTTGCATTTTTCAACTTCAAAATGTGTTGGAGCAGATCTTGTGATGAAGCTTTTGTTAAATTATTGCAGAAATAATGACATCAAGACATCAATTCGGGTGGGAGTAGTAGGTAACTATTTTTAGTGTTCGGTTGGTTATCTTTTAGTAATGAGGGACAGTTTAATTTGTGAAGTTTTTTTTTCGTATTTTAATTTTAATAGCTAATATGGAAACATCTTATGAATGATTAATTCTGGTTGTGTTTATTGTATGCTTCATCCAATGGGAAATTTAATGGCGAAATGTTTGTTGAAAGGACTTGGCAAACCTAGCACACTTTTCGTTGTAGAACATCGCAAATTTTTGTGATACTTTTCTTTCATGTCTAGTAATGGTTGGTATTCAGTAGAGGAACAATTACGGAAGAGTTTGATACTTTAATCGACACAAAATTCTGTCTACTGTTGCTTTATTAGGATTCCAGGCAGTTATTCTCTCAAAATATTGCGAACAACTGATGAAAATGAAAGTTTCGAATACATGAAGTGCTTAAATAGTTTCTTTTACCTTAACTAGAATTAATATGTTCTTTAGGTTATCCGAATGTCGGTAAAAGTAGTTTCATCAACAGTTTGAAAAGGAAGCGAGTTTGTGACGTTGGTGCTATACCAGGAATCACGAGGTACTTAAAAATCTTGAATTTGTGTAAAAGGAACAGAATTTAATGTTTTTAATCCTTCTTACATTGGGCATGAAGTAAAATGATATTTTGTTGTATATTTTTGTTGTGTACTTCTAACTACTATCGTAGATCGTGTATATGAACGCGTAGGTATTTGATTGTCATTTTTTCAAAAATATTTTCAGACAAGTGAAAGAAGTAGATCTGGACAAGCACATCCGATTACTGGATTCTCCCGGTGTAATATTGGAGCCAAAAGGTCGTTTGGACAGTAGTGAAATTGCTCTGAAAAATGCGATACGAGTGGAAAGTCTAGCTGATCCCACTCTTCCAGTACAAGCTATTTTAAGGCGATGTTCTCGAGACAGTGTTAGTCTTTCGATATGTTTTTTTTTATAGGCAGGACTATTTGTTCTTTCAGAATATAGAGATGGTGAGAAGGAAATTTTTTAATGTAAGAAAATCTATTTTGGAGAAATTCATGTCTTATTTGCAGTTGATTCTTCACTATGAAATACCGGAATTCAAAACTTGTGATGAGTTCCTAGCCTACATCGCTCGAAAGGGGGGCCGACTAAAGAAAGGTGGTCGCCCCGATTTGAATGCTGCAGCTCGAAAGGTTCGTTTTAAAACTTGAATCAAGACGATCTTAAAATTTCAGTTTTTAATTTTGGAGCAATACAGTTACGGATTATTGTCAAAGATTTTGAGAGTTCGTATTATCAAAGTTTAGTTGTCAGAGATTTTTTATTCTTTAGGTACTAATGGACTGGAATTACGGAAGATTACGATACTTCACAGAGCCACCTGAGGCTTCGGCAGACGGCAGTTCTGGTTTGTATTCCGCGGAACTGTTAAGTGAAATGTCGAGAGAATTTGATTTAGATGCACTGGATGATGAGCAGAAAGCTTTGGTGGAAGGTAAGCACTCAACTACATTTTTTATTGGCAATGTGAAATACGTTACAAAAGCGTTGCATAAATTAATTCAAAGAATCCATGGAAACATGCTTTGCACAAAATATTTTCAATTAAGAATTACCGACTGAAAGTGCAATGAAAGTAGCAGTAAAATATGACCTGGCCACAACAGCGGAAAGGAAGGAAGGAACTGATGATGAAACGCGAATGGAAGTTGAAAACATTTCAGGGAAGACTGTTATTTATCGTGAAGAAAAGGTAGATGAGCTCCATTTCTTGTTTCAGTGTTATTTTGAAAATTGCGAAACTTTCTTTTTTTCATAAACTCTTTGTTGAAAAATCTAACATTTATGCAAAACTACTTATCAAGATTTCGACATTACGTAGAAATAGCAAAGTGTAATTCTTACCTAATTTTTTCTCTTTGCTGCGAATTTGACCTCTTGTTTGTTATGGATTTTTTACATTCTAATCCGCTGTATATATCCCTATTTTGTTATTTCAGAAAAAAGCACGAGATGATATAGTGATGAATGAAAATAGTTTCCCAGATTCCTTCAACATCGATGGAAACTCTCGAATAAATCGTGCAATTAAGTTAGCAGTGAAAAAAAACAAAAAGAAAAACAAGAAACTCCGTAAGTTCTTAAAAATAATTATAGTGAGTAGGAATTCGGAAGAGAGGTAGTGTAGGGTAGTTCGGTTCTTACTCGCAATTTTTTAATGCTTTTTAACAAATTTTACTATAAAAACTGAAAATAGCGTTTTTTTAGTTAAACGTACGGAAGAAATAATTAATACAATGACGTCAACATCACTCACCGACAAACAAGAAGACTATGATTTTGATATAATAAATGAGGAATAAATTCAACTTTATTTATTTCGATTGTTGTTTTCGTTGAATGTTTTATAAAGTGAAATTTGTAAGAAAAAGAAAAACATTATGCAATGTGCATAATTTATGAGTGTGCTGTTGTTTTAAGTAAGACAGGCGTGCTTCCTGTTACGTAGAAATAAAAAAAAATACTCGTCGTTCGGCTACAGCACAGCATTTATTCTATTTTTAAAATATTTTTATTTCATGGTATTAAAAAAAACCTCTCACTAAAAAATAAACTTGGAATTAAAATTTATAGTACGGATTATTGGCAAAATAGAAAAACAAAGTAGGAGCATATGATAACGATTCGTACAGAGAAGATACGATGGAAGGTGTTATATAACGGTAGAGAAAGATTTGGCATGCAATTTACAGTTTATATATATAATTTAATTTCTATTCTGAATAGAAATTCCAGAGTTGCCAGAAGTTAATCACTTCCAACAAACAATTACGGAATAGTAATCCTATAGGCAGAGACTGTGACGTAAATGCTGTGAAGCGAGAGTGATGATTGCTAACAATTATGACTGCTAGAAATACAAACTATTAAACGAACACTACAATCAGCCCTACGTTCTCATTGAGAACATGTCTTTCAAGCTGGACGGCAATTATATTAATGGGCCGTATAATAATTACTCCCAATTACGAGCGGTGAATTGTTTTAAAGTGGATGTGAACGTGCAGGAATGAGGTTGGAAGTTGTCTGAATTTATAGATCGCGGTTGTTCTCACTTGTAGAGAGTTGGTAAATTTCAGTTGGCTTTTGAGCCTTAATATTTAGGGTATTCGTTTAGTCGTGGATTTAAGGGATCCATCTCTATTGTCTTACGTTGTACGTAAAACATAAGTATATTGGTTTTATCGTTGAATAAATTAGCTAAAAAATAAGGGGAGTTACAATGGAATAATTCATGTTACGAATCACACGAAGGGTATATTATCTTACATAGAAAGGTGTTAACAGTTCTCAATGAAAACTATCTTCAACAAAAATCATGTGAAACACGGTACATGAAGAATAACATTTTCTAAACCTGAAATTAATTCAGTGATAATATGATTAAAGTGATCTTTAGAGCATGAAAAAGATTGTGAAGTAGAATTCGTCGAAATCAAGATAAACAATTGTCTCTGGCAATTTTTGATGACGACGAGTGATTTAGCAGACAACGTGAGGTTTTCGATGAAATTTTGAAATTAATCAGTTTCTTTAGAGGAAGGTTTATAGGAACAATCAGTAGTATCAAAAAAGTATAATGTACTAGCAGTATTGAAGAAAATCATAGGGATAATTCACAATTTTTTTCTTTTCAAATTTAATCTTTTCAGTATGGCTTATTTATCATAAGTTGCTTGTTTTAGGAATGTGTTAAGCGCAAAAGTGAATCAGGGATACAAGGAACGTTCGAGAATTCAAAGGCTAGGTAACGTTAAAATTTGACAGTGTTGCTTTAATTTTGATTAGAGAAAAAAAAAAGAGAATAGGTTTCTCAAGAGTGGACAAAAGAGGGTTTGTATTGGATTTCAACACTTTATGATACTCTAATCCGAAAGATGCTATCAAAGAAGGTATTTTTTGTGTGTTCACTCATCGCCTTTCTTTTATCCTGTTGTTTTTACTTCGGACGTTTTCGAAGTCGGAAGTTTTCAGTAGTTCCTGTGAAGTACTTCTGCATTTTGGAGATCATAGAGGTCAGCGAAGCAGATCATTAAGACTCCGTGTATTTTATCGCACCCTCTACACTTTTCTTGACTGCTAGAGAAGAATTGTTTCCACTATTCTTTTCGGGACCGTTCTGTAAATCTTCTTTGATTGATATATTTCAATAGCAGTGGTTAAGTATCTGTAAATTGTATGGAAGTTTGTTCTTGAGGTTCTTATATCACTGAAAAATGAATTGAAATTTGATAATACCGTCTGCAATTACTGTTTTGCTGTTTAGGTGGTTCTCTATCTCTTTCACAATTATAGAGATGGTGAAAAAATTGCAAGACGGAAGTGCCAAACAACCAGTGCGTCAGTCGCATCGAATGCGCATTTTAAATACCCGTTTGGGTACACCACCAAAGATCCTGTTAGATATGCTTAAAGACCATTCATCTATCGTTAAAAAATCACTTCTGGCAGTACCAAATGTGAAAAAAATAGGTAAGCGTATTACATCGGACACTAGACTGTCTTTTTCTGCAAAAAAATTATCAGCTGTGTTTTGTCTTTTTTCAGAAAAATTTATCAAATGTAGGTTTGTAGGATTAAAAGTGGCAATGTCATTTCGATTAATGGATTGAAGCGGAATGAAATATGTTGGCTGCATAATTATTTTCAGAAAATGTTTCACAGAAAGCAGCAATAAATCCAAGTAAACAAAGTGTCAAGTCATCAAGTACTACTGGCGAACTATCAGATGTTAAGCCCCGTCGACAACACAATTCAAACAAACGGCATGCTGCGTCATTTGAAGAAATGCTTGAAGCTGGACATTTTTCGAAAAGCATTTCAAATGGTTAGTGATTATCAAATACTGAGCTTCATTGTTGCATTATAAAACCAGGAAGTATAGTTGATCTCTCTGATATCCATTCATTGTGACTGCTATGATAAGCGTTTCTCTGACACGCAAGAGCACATTTCCATTTCGGCAGGATTCTTGTTTGTTTATGACTGAACTTATTTAACTTTATTTATCACGCTATGTTTGATAAAAAGGAAAAATTATATTTTGAAAATCACAACTTTGATTGATGAGCGCTGTATTTTTTAACTTTTGCATGTATAATTAATCTTTGCAACTTTTTTCATTATTAGAAAAAATCGCAGAAACAGTGGCGTCAAATGAATCGAGGAAGCCCGAAACTCCTCGAAGCTCAAAAAATGAAAGAATGCATATTTTAAATAAAGTTTTGGACAATACGTCTTCGAAAATTCGACATTCTTCTCGCATTCGTGTCCCGAATTCACGCTTTGGTTATTTACTACCTGGTTTTTTGGGTCAATCAGGAAATGGAAAAAAAAGAGGTAACATGAAAACAAGTTAAGGAAGTAAGAAATACAATGTATTTCATGATTTCCATGTGAATACTTTACAATATGATTGAAGTTTCTTATTTCTTAATGGTCCTAAATATACTATTAAATCCTGCATCTACATCGGAGACTGTTTTTTTGTTGAGATGGAAAATGCTTTTTCAAGTCTGGATAGCGGTTTGAAAATTTTTTTTCTACTTTTACATAATAGAAGTGCTTCAGTATCGAAAGAAAAAAAGGAAAAAAAAAGTGCTTCAGTATAAAATTTTGTAAAGGTTGTGTAGAAAATTTTTAGCATAGTAGAACTTCTTGAGTTCGGCAATGTTCCAGAAATTAACTCATGTGCAGTTTCGTTATTTAGGCAGAAAGGCAGATATATTGCCATTGACGCCAGAAGAAGAAAAAGTTGTTGCATGTGATATGACAGTCAAGCCACGTCATTCTGGACGACTGCGTATTCCGAGCAAACGTCTTAGTTTTCCAGATGTTTACCCCGTCATCCGAGTACAGAAAAAATCCACTAAAGCAAGTTAGTTTTCTCTCTATCATTATATAGTTATCTTTATCCATGTTTGGTTTGGTTATAATGCTTCTTAAAATCAGCAAGAATTTTACGCCGTGAGACCCAAATTGGTGGAAGATTTTAACATTTATACTAAATACATAAATATATTATTCAGTTTCACACAAATGCCTCTTTATCAGTAGTGTGACTATCAATGAATATATAATCTTCAAGACCAGAGGTCCAAAAACTAAAGGTTGTTGGGAAAATTTATAATCGATCTCTTTTTTTGTTGTAATATTAATATCTTTTTCATTTACCACCAATTTGAAAGTAATTTTATTGAGTTCAGAAAGACAGCAGTTTATTTTGTTGTTTGATCGATATGTTATCAACAAAATTAAGCATTTGTAAATACTGTGTTTGAAAAAGTTTCAAAGTATAAATTTTTCAAGAACAAAATAAAAGTACTGATTTATAAAACTGTACAAAAACGGTAAGGCCTGAAGTTTCCATTAAAAACTTGATGTGGTTAATTGTTTTATCTTAGTTTTTTCCTTTTCCTAAATCACCATTTATCCACATGTGTATGCAACTTATCTTGGAGAATTATCCTCTTATAATTTAACCAATGTGTGTTACTAGTCGTTGCATGTATTAATTTTTAAAGAAAATGCAGTTCAATTCAATCAAAAAAATTGATTAAATCATCTGTGTCGGTACAGATGATTTAACCAACATTTTTTTTTTAAATTTATGTCGGGAATTTGTGAGTCAACTTTTTTTAAAACTACTGTGTGTCAGCGGTGAAAACTACAGCTCTTAATCGTTTCAGGACCAAAAATGGAAAAGGCACTTGTTAAAGTCCATAAATGTAAGAATTCCAGCAAAGAACCAGCAAGCATTCTAAAAACCCGATTAAGCGTAAAAGCTACATCAAAAAATTTGTCTTTGTCATCCAGTGCTAATCGTCAGATTCACAGCAGCTTAGAGGTTCCATCGATATTATATCCGTACAGGCCAGCAAGAAGTCAAGCGCTATGTGTAGAGCCATCTTCATCAATTACTAAAGATTATATCAGTAAAAGGGATGTTGAAGAATTGATAGCTGAAATAAATAAAGCTTTAGCTCTCATTACCGATGAAGATTATAGTGAATTGCGTGAGAAAATCACCCATCATCTGAACAATCTTCATCGGGAAAACTGCCGTTTTCGTCAAGCTTTACATCAATTGAAATCCGAACTGGATACTTTATCAAGCAACTCAGCAGTAAATCATTATAATATGCTCATAAAGCAGAACAGCGAGTTGCGCCAACAGAAAGTCCTTGCCGATATCAAATGCGAAACACAAATGGAGGAAGTACGTAAACTGCTAGGAAGAATCAGAATCCTGGAAATGCGGAATAGAAATCTGGAAGACTTCCGGAATCGGTTGGTAGAACAAAAAAAGCAGCAACATTTGAGTGGTGGAGCAAAATGTCCCGACACCGGTTTGGTAAATGATTTGTCCAAGGTGGAAACGCAAAATCTAACGAATGCTGAATTGGATTCGTTCATTATGAATGGAATTGATGGTATGGTGAAGAATAATAAATCCAATGATGATAAAGTAGAGTGGGGTAACGATTCGTGGATGTTGCATTGCTGAGAGGCGTTACAAAGTTGTTATGTTGTTACATATTCTCAGAAGTATGTTTTACTTGTGGATTGATTACGCACACATTTTTGCTATCGCATTCATCATTGCAGTTTTTTCTGTAAAGGTTAGTAGTAAATCAAATACATTAAGTATTTCATTCTTCTGATATTATCTTCTGTATAATTAGAGGTTAAAACTCTCCGAAAGAGTTTTATACATGATTTCTGAAAATAAACTAATTGTATTATCTTTTCATGTTTATTACTTATGAGCTGGATTTTTTAATGATTTTCTAGCTTTTCAGAAACAAAATGATCATTATGATCATTGTTTTCATTTTTAAGGATATTACGCGTCAAAAGCATACGTGTGACATCTATGAAATTGCAATAATGGTTAGCATTCACTTGTCTATCGATTGTATCAGTATTCTTTCCTTTAAAATCCTGATGAACGACAATCGCTGACGTTTGTACTTTAAAGTGTAATGAAGAAAGAAAAAAGGTCTCTGAAGTGCACTTTCATCACGCTTATTGATAGATTTAACTCGGAAATAGATATAATGCATGGTAGGGAATTTAGACTAAATACGCATGGAACACCGGATTATAGTGACTAATTTATTAAAGTGAGCAAATGTGAACGTTATATGATAAGTCATGAAATGGTTTGATTACTTTCCATTACATTCAAAGAAGCAGTTGGGCTTGGAGACCTTGATTTGCTATATTGATGAATATATCGCATTGATGGAAAAGTTTACTGATAACAAATCAATGAAGACGGAATTACAATACAAAATGAAAACATAGCAGCCGATGATGGACAACGGAGCTTAAGAACATCAGAATTTAGGATAGTACATCAGATAGGGTACATGAGAAAGTGGATAACATCCTTCCACTGACTTTACTGGCAGTGAAGGAGTCTTGCGTAACACCATAAATTGTGGTATTCTAAAATGATATCTGGTTTTTGGATTATATGAGAGATAATGGAGCTAGGCGGAATAGAATTTTGCTCAAAACCCAAAAAATTTTCGATTTGCAACATATCTTAAAATGTTTTGCCACTCATTCCTAACCAAAGAAATTCGGGAAACTTGAAAAAATCCAAAAAAAGCCTTTGTTCAAACAATCTATCATGAGGGGCGAATCAAAATATCCTTCGCTAAGGCAAAAGAGTTCCAAATTGTGTGGTGTTAACTGATAAGCAAATAACATTGAAATTATATCGCAAACTGATATGTTACAGGGATCTAAAACTTTAATTAAGATTATGAGACAACCGGGATGGCATAAATCTATTTTGGCTTACAAAACAGATGGGTCAAGCTTAAGACCCATAACATGCTAATTACAAAAATGAGGAACTGAACGGAGATAGTCAACATGGGAAATATTAAAATATGGAGCGTAACAATGACTCGAAATGAACACTAGGGAAACAATGATAAATTGGTTAAAGTATACTACAGGAAATAACATTTCGAACGAGAAACAATACAGAAAATCAAATATGATTTTCAACGTTCTTTCAACAATCAACCAGTCACACATTTATGTAAGATAGTAAATCAGCTATTCTCATAGAGAGCCTGTTAACACAAAATAAATAAATATCACAATTATGCAGTTACCATGTGATTAAGGTAGCTACAAAACCCATATGACCTCATAGAGCCAAGAACTCGATTCTTGAACACATTTGGAACTGAAAAAAATTATGCTGCATTCACTATGTGGCCAAATCACTTCTATAACGACAGTATGCGTCTTTAAACCCGGAAAATCTCGGAAACAAGTCAGCTTTAACATTTATGTTCTGAAACTTCAGTAATTCTCGGTTAAGAACAATGAGTTTCCGCATGATATATTCGTTTTCCGTAACAATGAATATAGGAGACGAACATATACAACAACAAAACATATTTTCCTGGTAGACTGTAAACAGCATATATCACCAGTATTATAATGTGATTTTCATGACCGAACTTGCAAGTTGTAGCAAACTACAACCAAGATAGAAAAATTAGCCCAAGATTCTCTTTAGCACAAATTTTTTAACCTCTGAAAAAATAAGCAACATATAAACAGAAGTTTCATTAACTTAACAGCAGTTACGACCATCACAAATCACCAATTGAAATACAATTCACAACAAAACCGGAAACGGGAAGTGGATAATATCCAGTGATCCAATGGTCATTCTTCCTAACCTAAATTCTCACACTTACCTATTTGGAAAAAAATCCAATATATAGTACAAAATCTCTTTTTTCTCATATGCAAAACAATGTTACACTTTCTAAATGAGGAAGATAATATTTTATAGGTCCAATTCGTTTCTAGTAACCACATTTTGAACTTTATCTCTCAACGATTCTTCATTTCACGTTTTATACGTTTTGTTGCTCGACCACAGCAACATCCAACGAAGAACAGTAATAAGACAAAAGCGCCAAACCATGTAAGTAATGAATTTCGTTGTGGATGACTTACTACAATGTTCACCATTTCGGCAAATGATTCCGGTAGTGCTATCTGTTCTTCCTGCAAGATATCTAAGTCTCGATTCAAAATCAATCGGCCAAAAAAAGAGGCTTTTATTACCGTGAAAATTTTATCAGTAATTGGTTTTGTAGGAATTTTCTGGCATCACATTAGTTTTAAAACGTGCCTACTGCTAAAAACGGGAAATAACTTTTGTTGGTGCAATAAGGAATTTTTATAGATATATGAACTTCATAAACAAACAAACCTTGTAAGCTTTATTCCACAAATTATTTCGTTCAATAAGTTTATCTCTGCAGGTTGGTGAAAGTTTCAGGTTTTCACTCTTCAGTGAATCCAGTAAACATATAATTACTGTAAATATATAAAATACTGTTAGGAAGCAATTATAGCAATATATTAAAATGGGATAAAGTCAGTGATAAAAAAATTCCCCCAAATCACTGCTGCACTCATGAATTTTAGTGAAAACATATTCAACAATTTAAATCTGCCTACATCGACTTTGCCCTGGTGGCACATCGTAGCATAATCGTTGAATGTCATTAGCGCAAGCTTCATGCAACACCGGATCGAGATGGATATCAATTAATGATTCTTGCAAGCGTCTACCAATCTGCAACTTCCTACAGATCAAAATAAGAAAACGAACCTATCATGAATAATTCTTTAGACAGAATTTAATCTGTACCAGAAAGTTCGAGCAAATTCTTAATGATAAATACAGCTCATACTTAATAAAAGCGCAAAACCTGTCGTGTACAATCGGCATCTCTAATGACATTAAGTCTAAAATCGGCTTTGAGACATTCCAAAACTGAATCAAAAGTTCCACCATGCTTTATGACATCATTAGAGCAGTGTTTTGAAATAGAGTTCCTACAAGCTTTATACAGTTGTGGATCTAATTGAACATCAAATTCGCTTTCCAAAATAATGCTCGAAATCTGAAATTAGTTTGAAAACTCATCTGAGTAAAGCTGAAAATTCAGAGTTTTCGAAAAAAACTAGAAATTGAATAAATTTCCAATTTCAACTAAAATTTTGTTACTATGAGTAATCTGTTTGTCTACCTCTAAAAGCCAATATTCAATGCAAGCTATTACTGGAAAACGTTGAAGCAGAGATGTTCCAAGACCTTCAAACAAGAGGGAAAATATTGTTTGTAGTGACAGTAAAGAAAAATTTCCTCGACATACAGCTAGATTAAAACAAATGGTTTAATATAGGCAGACTTTTTCCAAGAAAAAATTCATTGGAAAAACGACCTCATCCCTGCATTTGGCATTCAGATGTATTGATTTCTGCGGATCTGCGTATTGCGTACGCAAACACATAATGAAAACACCCTCCAGTGTTTTTTTGGCATACTGTGGATCGTTTATTTTCTTGTAATCATCAGGACAGCTAGAAAAATTTTTTCTAAGAAATAGATCATGTATAACAAAATATGAAAGAAGAAACCAAAAAGCTTATTAAAAACCGAAACAAATCGAAAAATTCATGAACGAAGTGGCATCAATCAATTAAATAAATGATCAAAAAATTAATGAAAAAACTTACTAATGTTCGGCCTCTTCTCTACAAGCTTCCAGAAGACCAATATTCAAACGTACATCTCTAGCTTGTTCTCGCATCCTTTCCCACACAATCTCAAAAAACAATTCTCACTCATAGAAATTCGAAACGATATTTCAAATTACTTACTTTTTGGCATTTTGATGACAAAGAACGTATGACCTTCATATTTTTCAAACATTCCAGCACTCTGTCACCTCTTTCTGCATAACAGTATTTGTCTATGTCAGCGCGACAATGATACTGAAAACATTCTCTAATTTAGTGAAGTGGAAAATTTATTAATGTTTAAAAGGTTGAAATTAAATCAAAATAACGGCAAGATAATTAAATTTGTGACAAAATATTTCCTAATATTCAATTCTAAATAATATGAATTTGACCTGAAGCACATCATCAAATTGATTATCCACTGCTTCTATTTTTTCCCGTGTAAAAACAACTGCTTTACATTCTAAGCCTGAAAAGCTATCCAAATAATGCTTCGTGACAATTAAAAATGTGGCAAAATTCATCAATTCAGTTGAAAAATTCTACTTTTGCAAAATATTCAATATTACAAAGTAAATATTGTATTTCCTGTATTTTTCATCTTTTACCAATAATACCAGCCGTTTCAGAATCATATTTCTCAATTATGCCTCGTCATTCAATATCCATATGAGCCCGTTGCTTACTGGAGAATTTAGAAAAAACTTCCTAATATTTTCAACAGTAAGATGAAGGACGTATGAGAAACAAAAACTTCAAACTAAATTATTCTTCCTCAAACAGAAATCTAAACGAGTAGTAATTTCGGTCACAATAAGCATCATGAGAGAGCCTCACCTAATTCATCATATTTTAAACGTAAGCATTCAACCACATCTTCAAAATACTTTTCTTTCCGGCAACCAAATCGATCCAGTTCCTGACTACATTTCTTCATCAACGAAGAATCGGCATCCATCATATGTGATTTATCATCGAACTATAAACACATCAATAAATATTGCTACTCTCAGGATTAAATAATGGAATCATGCAAATTTCATTTATCATGCTTCTTAATGACAAAAACAAATCAAACAGAGAATTCAGAATAAAGATAGCTGCAAAAGTGAACATCACAATTCATCTTTTCCAGTGATTATTTAAAAAACCGTTAAATGCACAAAACTGATTTTTTGTAACTTACAAATTAGTGACATGTCACATTAATTACACTAAAACCTGAAAATTACGTTGCGATCAAGAATCGGTTTAAGCAATCTCAATTGGTTTATTAAAAAAATCAAACATTATAAACCTTTTTAAAAAGCCTATAAGTTGTTAGCACTGTTAAAGGCACTATACCGATCTAATAAATGATCTAAATCCAATTCAGATTTTCGCTTTCAATCAGTTTAATTCAGACAAATGGAACGCTAAGGTTAAACGCATAAATAAAATTGAAAAATCTAAACAAGTGCATGTTTCACTGCTCACTTTCTGAAATGTTCAAGGTACAACGCAAAGAGCAATTAACACCAGTAACGCATCTTTATAAACTAAATAAAATTCGAAAACGCATGGAAACTAATAAAAGCTAGGATCAAAAACACTCACATTCACCTGTTCTTGATGAAGATATGCAGCCTTCAAATATTTTTTACAATCTTTTTCGAGGTCATCTGGTGTTCCCAGCACTTTGTGTTCAAACATAACTGTTGATAAACAACGAATTATTTCAGCCCTGAATAATTCAATGAAAATGGAATAAGCAACATGCAAATATTGATTCGGTGCTTTATATTTCAACCTGTAGATTCTATAACCTCTGTATATTTTTTGTCTATCGTCATCATCGTACAATAAAATATTATTTATGGATATAAATTTCGCCTTCGTTTCAGAGCAGCAGAAAATGTTCCATAGTAAAGTGTATTCTTCATGAGAGAATGATTAATAAAAAAAAAATAATGGGACACATAAATCGATATACATTGTTTCAGCATGATGCGTATGTAAATCAAAAAGACAAACTTCTATTGTCTGAAGCAGATTCAAAATTTGCATCGAACATTGGAGATAGAATTTTTAATTTTTTACCTTCATTTTACTGCAAAATTTTATCAAAAAGTTTATAAAAAAGAATTACTTGTCGGTGCTAACTTCCGTGCAGTACTTCTTAATGTCATTCGAGCAGTACTGTGCGAAATGTTCATCGAATTTGAAGTCACGCATAGTAATAAGTTCAAAGTGATTTACGTATGAACGACATTTGGAAGTCATTTCTGGTCGGTCTTTGTTATCCAGTAAACATTCCAATACATTGCCATGATCGATTTCTTCATTGATGTATTGCTGAAACATCAAAATTCTAAAAAAAATTCCGCCACTATTAATTACAATAAATTTACTGAAAAATATGAGCAGTTTAGATTGAATGTATTGTCTGTTAGATTAAGTAAAACTTTTTTGTCACATGAGTAAATATAACTCAACTGGCTACTGCACTATCCCCATTTGAATTTCTGCCCAATCTTATCAGGCCTTATATATAGAACTCTGCGTCAAAACTGCTGCTGATTTTGACAACAAATAATAGAAGCAGCAAAAAAGGGACTCGACAATTTCTCTTATCCATAAATGAAACCTGGCAGTATTTTGAGATGACAGGTCTGCAAGCTTTTGTAAGCGCTTGATTTAGAGCAGTATCTTTAGCCATCATTTTCGTGTAATCGCTTACAGCAGCGGCACATTCACTGTACTTTTTTTTGAACTTATCTTGCTGGAAATATTCTTGCAAACATCTCATTTCCTGAAAAAGAGGAAAGGATGTTACTTGCAGATCTTATTCTGGTGCAAATTTATAAATCAATATAATCATCTGCACAGAGGTTTAGAATCAGTTTTAACCACTAAGACAAACAAGACTATTCAACCACTTGAAAATTCTTCCAACTGTTAGATAATTACAAGTCAAAAACATACAAGCACCATCACTATCAATCCTAAAATATTGGTGCTGAAGCTTTCCCATCCAACGGTACATCGATTAAATTGCCAGAATAATAAAGATATCGAACACTTTCCAACAACTGTTATTTGCTGTACTATCTTTTTAGTGCTTTTATCATCAACCTACACTTTCAATGGTAATAAAGTCCGGATAACACCTGGCAGGTCCCGGTTATACTTTTAACTTTTGGAAAAAAAGATTAAGATGCATACCTGAGTGGGTTTCACATCAGTGGAACAGTACTCTGAGAGAGCTTCCCGACAAGAAGATTCGATGTCTGGCATTAAATTTACACGTACTGCACGAGTATGTAATGCACGACGCACATTTGCAGCACATTCAGGTTTGAGCTGCAATGAAAAAAGTTTATATTTAAAGGCACTGGTGGACGTAGCTCAAAGCTTCATATAGGACACAACTATATGATAGTAAAGCAAAGAGAATGGCATAAAGGTTACCGGATTCTGATCATTGTAGGCTGCACGATAGAGACAAGCAAGTACGATTGGTCCAGGATCCGGTCCTTGTTGATTCGGTTGCTGATGCCAATTATCATTAGCAGAACATCTTAAAAAACATTCAAAAAATTAGATTATAAATCAAATCTTGAAGTAACAGCCAGTTTTTACTCTGTAATTACTGAAAAATTAGAAATTGAAATTGTATTTCAAAAGTGTGCAAGATAAATATTGAATGTTACTTGGAAACTGCGTCTTCATGACATGCTGAGTAAAGTTGCGGATCAAGTGTCCAATCTCGAGAGATAAAGTACTGCACTTCCAATAGTCGCTGTTCACATTCCTTTGGCATGTCAACATCCATATGTTTCATCAAACAGCCCAAGGTGTTCGCTTCCGATTGAGCATCCATTGCACATGGACCTAGATTACAACTAGATTATGCAGAAACGACATAAAAGCTATATTAAAATAAATACTATATCTACTCAACAAGCCCAATATACCCAATATACTCGATTATAGTGGCCAAAGTTTTAATAAAAACTTTACAAGAAATAAACGTTGCTGATGTTCCTGCCATTCCTTACAAATCTCCAGCTGGACAGATGGTCAGAAGCAACAGCAACGTTAAGGTTTGTAAATTATTGTAAAATCTGGACATTTTTGATCTGAAGTATTTCTCGCGATCATTCTCCATGTTTGATTAAGAATGATATAGTAATTTTAGATAATACTGGTAAAACATTCAACTAGAATTCCCCCTGAAAGGTATTTGAAGTTGAGTATATATTAATAAGTTTACCATCAATCAATCTTTTGCAGCTGGCATATAAAACTTCATCCACTTTGTAATTAGAACCAACATCAGCGACCTGTTGACAAACAACTTGGATCAATAAAAAATTATTGTGGCTCTACCAATAAGTTAGTATTAGTAATCTAACGATAAAGTTTATTAACCACTTATTTTTATTAGTCACTCAGTTATGCTGAAAACTAAGGAAAGAAATTTAGAGAGAAAACAACAATAACCTTCATGACAGTTTGCAAGGCCTGCATGCACTGCGGACCAAGTCTCCGGTTTTCATTACGTTCTTGTGCGTGGCTCAATAAGCAGTGAAGAGTTCGACCTTCCGCCTCAATGTCACCTTTTGGACTGCAGAATATATCGATTTCCTGTAAAAGTGGATGGACAAAGATTAAAGTTGGTTGCAAGGAGTGAAACTAATAAACTAAACCGTATACGACACAAAGTTTTGAAACAAATTTAAAAGTATCTTCAGAGAAGTAAAAAGACAAAAATTCCATAATTTACTCTGCCACAAGTCAGAACAACTTCCGGACTTAATCGGAATTCGCTCATCATCATTTTTCGATGCGAAATCATTTCATGTTGACATTTTTTGGATACTTTCTCGGGATTTGCACGTGCCGCATTTTCCAGACATAGAAGCACCCAGCTGAGATGAAAATTTGGAGAGCCGGAAAATAGTGCTGACGGCGCACAACTGAATTCCTTCATTTCTGCTGCACAACCACCAAGCAATGGGTGCGATAACCGATAATTTTGTCCCATCATGTTAGCTCGTTCTGCCAAAAGCTTTGAGCACTGTAACAAAACATTTCTACAACATATTAATCATAAACTGACTCTGTTCGAAACGACCTCTGCCATAGATAAAAAAAAGCATGAGTCAATAAATCATAAAATATCTGAGGAATGACAAAATGTTTATATCCTTAATTATTTTTAATTATAAGAACAGGGCTTAATTAATATTACTAAAAAATGACACAAAAATTTGTGATCATTTATTAATAATTAATAGCAAACTTTTTATCTCTTCTTTTTAAAAATAACCAGGGAAACGTACTTCTGGCTCCATCATTGGGTCTGTTCGATGAGTAAGCAAACATTCCAGTACTTTTCCCTGTCCTGACTGGACAGTTTTGCAAAATTTCTGAAAGAAATTGCCTCATATAAAAGTCTTTAATAATGAAAATAATTAAAGTGGAGTGAACGAAAATCCATAAAAATGAAACAATTTATGCCACCTCTCGATCTTGCCGACATGCAAAATAGAGCGGTCTATCGAGGTGGAAATCCTCCGTTTGTAATTCAGCTATTCGCATAATTTCATGTTGACACGCTTCATCAACAACTGGCGTTGCCTTAAGATCTTTTTGCTGTGCTTGATAGATTTTACTTATCAAACACTCCAACGTGTGTCCTGCAAACTATAGATTTAACATTTCGTGAACAAAAAAAATACGGATCTAATGGTATAAATTATTTTTCAACAAAACTGAACAATGATGAAAGGAAAACATACCTTGGGAATGTGGCACTCGAACTTTAGCATGAGCAGATGGTGGAGTTAATGTCCCACACTGAAGTCTTTGGATTGTATTTTTACACACTGCCACAAACGGGCCCACAACACGAAAATCAGAGAATGCAAGTCTAGCAGAACGATCTGAAATGAAAGTGCAGGTCTCGAATGTTGTCGAGATCAAATTCAGAGCAACAAGTTTTACTCCCCTCATTCAAAAGCATATATTGAAATGCAAAAAAAATTAAGAACATATCTTTATAAATAGAATAAGAAATGTTTGCGTTCAGTATTTATTACAAATGACTCGATGACTGCATAAGAGCAAAAAAATTGGCTTCCTCTAGACTAGATTGAAGAAAGATTAAACTTGCCCAAAAATTGGAAACATCTCGACTCCTTTGGCAAATTTAATATAAAATTGATGAAACATGAGAGCGCATGACCAGGTTCTATTGCTTCCGCACATTGAGCTAAGGCTGGATTAGCCATCATTTCATCCTTGCAAAAAAGTTTTGATGCTTGCCGAAACTGATCATCTTGAGTCAAATTTACCTGAAGTTTCAACTTGATTTGTTAAATTATAACATAAATTTTATAACCGAACAAAGTAACAAATGCTTTCCTACCTACATATGTTAGTGCCCTCAACAGTGCTCGATAACAATTTAGGGTCTGTATGAAAATCAAACTTACTTTGAAATCCCAAACCAGCTGTTCACATGGAGCAGTAAGAAGTTCCGTTTCGCTTAATTTAACGTCTTGAAGACATTCCAATACCGACATATCACTTTTGAGTTCCACTCCAGGACGAAAACAATATTTATGTACATCTTCCTTACATTCTTCATAATCTATCAAATGTTTTTTAGATGTATCCAATCCTTGCTGTTGACCATTAAGTGAATTCATTGGCCTATTAAATCAAAATTAATCGATGGGATTTCATCAAATAAATATCAAAACCTTCGAATTTACAATCATTTAATAGATGATTTCTTTTAAATACGATAACATTTGACATGATTCATATAAACAATCCGCCTTGAACAGAATTAATGAAACCCTCAGTAAGACAAAAAATGAAACCGTCAGTAAGATATCAGTAAGATAAAAAGAGACTTACTAGAGAACATATCAGTTCATTCTACAGAGATAATAAATCCCAGCTTCAAATATTAACTTTAAATACTACAGCTTAGGAAGAAATGCAATTTCCAAAAAAACAAATGCTGGAAAGAGAAACTGAAGGAAGCCAAAGCATTAACGTACAATTGTTGCAGCACCTGGCGAGCAGTTTGTACTGGTGCTTGTGACTGTACTTTTTGAGGTGCAAGCACTAAAAATATGAAAAATTGAGTAAGGAGACCATCAAACTGAAAAATTGTATGTTTTAGTATTATATAAAATACCTTCCTGAGGAGCTTGTGCATCAACTTGATTTTCTTGTATCTGAAAAAGATATAAGTTTTGTATGTTATAAAAATGCTATTGGAAATGAATAATTTTTCGATGATGACCTTTCAAACCCTTAACAGAAAAACTGCTATACTAAAATTGAGAATTGAAAATTTAGCTGGTAGCAATATCTGTAAAGTAACCTACGACAAAAATAAATGATGACGAGTTATTTTGCTTAATGAATCAGCAGTTTTGTTGTCACGTTTATACTATTCTAATCAGTCTTGATTTTTCCCATTATTTTTATTGATTTACTACCGCGTCATACTATACAAAAAACGAACACTAATTGTTGCCATATACGTGAGTTTACTCACATATGTTACGCAATTCACGGCAGTTTTTATTAGTATACACAGCAGTATGAGTTTATTTCCCAGAGATGTAACTTTTTTTACACTTAGAATTTTAAGTTTGTTTCTCAACCAACCTGTGCATCGATGCACGAGTTCCTGTGGATGTATAACAAAATAATACAAAAAAATTGGACCAATAAATTCATTCTGAAATTGAGAACAACAAATTCTTGCTGGCAATAAAAAGGTACGCGTGAGTTCGTATTTAAAAGTATCAGATAAATACAGCGATTTAAAACCGGTAATTACAGAAAACTTTCCAAGATGAAGTTATATAATGCATTTAGAACAATGATTTAACAACTGCAAACAAATGAAAGATTCATCTGGATTGCTAATGGAGCATCTTATGAATAAAATACTGCAAAAGGTCATCCGATGGTTAAAAAAATTTTTATTTTGCCGTTTCAACTTCCACTACAGCAAAAGAAATACAGAATACAGAAAATAAATCAAAAATCTTATTAAAAAATATCTACGACTTAGCAGTCCTAATCTTATATTTATTTCAGTTCCACCTCAATGTCTTTACTAAACAAGACGAAATTAGGTACATATAGCAAAAGTTCTTATATATGTTCAGTTATTGGAAAACAAAATTTATGATCTTCTCTTCAGAGTACCAATAAAGTTCAAATAACTCATTTGTGTGATAATTACTATATGTATATCTATATATATTTAAGAAGTACCATAACATGCGAGTGCAAGACGAAAAGAACAAGACTTAGCGATTCTAATTATTAATTTATGCAAGTAAGGTAATATTTGTTGTCAAAGACATAATCTTGATTTTAATGACAGCGACGAACAGAGAGCCTCGGTTAAAATTTGTTAGTTTTTCACGATTTTAAACATTTCAAAGTTCCGTTTTGCAAAAAAGACACGTCATTATTACTTATCATCTCTTCTTTAAAATGTCAGTAGGCTCACAAAGGTGTCTAAACAAAAAATATCGACCAAATATCAACAATTTTTTGGAAAATAAATTCATTAAAATGATGTTACAAGTAAAAGAAGGTATTAGTGATGTCAATGAAAAAAAAAGATGTTGCTACACGGGAGAATATCACTTTTTTAAACATGATTAATCGAATGATCGATGATGACTATCTTTTTCCAATTTATCTCATGATTTTAATAGTACAAATCACGAGTAAAAAGCTGCTATTAATTTAAAGTTTATAATAACATTATAAAAACCTAAAAACGCTTTAAAAGAACCCTAATAATATTCAAAAGTAATGCAAAAGCCGATGTGATGATATTCTTTGAAAAGCTAATTGCAAAATGTAAAATTAAAAGGAAATTTTGAAGTTCTAGTGATTACAATTGTTGTGCCGATATTGCTATTGCCAGTGTGATCGAATAATAGCAATACTTAGTACCATAAGTTTCTTCCAATTATTTGAGGGAGAATGTTTTGTGCCGTTAATGGAAGCTAGTTTCAATCCTTGAGTAAAATGCAGTTCCAAATCTTTGAGGAATAATCTAATTATTTCAGGTAATATCTCAGTTTTCGAAGAAAAATATAAATTATTTTAAAAATTTCACGAAAATGCATAATTTCATGAATCATGGAGAATTACAGATGTTGTCGCTTATACTTTTTTGTTCATAAATAATTTGCATTTTTTCTTTCAGAACTGAGGTATTATCTGAAATAATTTGAAAAAAACTTGGATAGACTGAATATTGTTATGTTTCTTATGTCCAACTAATTTTAATGACTAGAACTTCAAAATTTCCTCTTAATTTTTTACTTTTCCAATTTTTTATTTCAAAGAATATTCTCATATCGCCTTTTAGATTATTTTTGAAGATTCATACATATCAATCTGCATTTATACTTTTGTGGTATATTTTAATATGAAAAAGAGAAAAAAAACCCAACACTGTTGAAGCAGCAATGTGAAGAAATTGAAAAACAAAAATATTTTGAGTAGGCAGTTACGTGTCTGCAAATTTTTTCATGCGCACCGAAAACAATCAATAAGACGACGTAAGTGTCGCTGTATAAGCATGAGCTTTTTCTTCTAGACAGATGAAAAAGCAAGAAGCATGAAGACTGAGCTCACTTCTAGTCTAGCAGTGAGTTGTGAACAGATGTAAAACTGATACCGATGGTCGAGGTTCCACGTGAATCGAAAAATGCAAGTCACATTCGGAATCAATTATTTCACAACGCATATATAATATTAGAGCATTTGTGGTGATTTTAAATATCAATAATTACTCACTTTCTTAACTGACACCGTCGTAGATTCTTGCCCATATGGGCACAAGAAAAATTTGTCATTAAATAATAAGTGATACTCCAAACTTACCATAATTGGACCGTCGACAACCTTAAAATGAAATATTTTTATTACATAATATCATCGATCAAAATCCAGCTCAGATAAAATTTCAAACTTCTGTATCCTAACTTGCTGTAAATCTTGAATAACATCAAGTCCATATGACTATAAAGTTTTCAATTCAGTCATTAATACTGAAAATTTTGACTACATCTGAAAGCGATCAAATAATGAAAATCAATGAAAATACGAGAACGTTAATCAAGCATGCTTCAACTATTTACTACAGACACTAATTATAATATGCGAGAAAGTGTGCCCACGCTTAAAAAAGAACAAATTTTCAATGCATCTTCTACTTCTCTTCCTTTAACTTGAATGAGACAGTTCATGTAAATCGCTAATTGGTAGAACAGAAATTCGATCAATTTGTGGGGATAACCCATATTGCACAGATAATTTAATTCTCTTGAAGCATTGATTGAATCGCTTTTCTCATAAATTCCTATTGCAGATCATCTCCTTTATGAATAAAACGCCATGTCAGAAATCTTATACACCATGTCATAAAACTAGCAACATGAAAGCTTAATTAAACCGGAAGATATAAAAGTTTGAAAATTATCATGAACTGGATGTTAAATCGATAATTAAGTTCTGCTAATGAATCAATACTTAAGATATTCATCCAAATAAAGAATAAACATAAATAATTTCAAACCTCCGAGCGTATTTTCCTATCCTAAAATAGAAATATTTAAAAATGATGACAGAGAATCAGGACGAGTCGAGCTTATGCTATATTGAATCCAGCAGCATCCAATTAAATTAGTAAAAAAAATAGCTTGTGAATGAATTGTTTATAGGAATCAAATTTCCTTCAAAAAAAAGAAAAAAAAAATCAACTGACTCATTCGCTTAGATAATCGTAAAAGAAATACTTCAAATTTTGAGAATTAAATAATAAAATATTAACGAGAACACTCAGATGTAAAAATAATTAACGTTGATAGATACACGGTAAATACGTGAATCACGAAAATATCAATCAGCAAAATTACGACAAAAAAGTGCCAAGCGACATACCTATTCCATCGTGGTCAACACGTTAACCACAAATAACCAAACCGGTTTTGTGGAAATTTTAGCTGACGTATGAGAAAGGTTCGTGCAAGATGACAACCTCACTATTACAGCCATTTTTTCCGGTACTACTAATTCATTTGTGTCCTTAACCAATGATGCAATAAATTGTAGCTACAGATATTACCAAATATAATCATTCGTCCACTTTCATTATCACCTCCAGATATTATCAGTTTCGACCTCATCAACCTCAATACTATCAATTCTGGTACTGTAAATTTGGGATTATCAATTTTAGTACCAACAATTTTGTTACATTTCAGTGTCCATTTATTTCATCTATCAGTTTGATCAATGCAGCGGTTCTTTTTCCGGTGATACGTGATGTCACAAATACGCACCTGTCAGGACAGTATCATCAAGAATACTACTCGAATGCTGTAAGCATTTTCCTTGCTGTCATGTTTTGAAGAAATATGAATGCGAAGTTAGGTATGTTAATAAATGATTAATTGAACCTGAATAACGTCTGAACAAAATGTTGGCTAATTTTTGCATGGACTGATAACACTGGCATGATGTGATATATTCATTTATCTGAAATTTAATTATATATTAGAAATTATCTTATATATTTCATGTGATAAAGCCGTGTTAATTGTTAATTGTTCAGTCTTTCCAAGAATGGAGAATTGCTGGTTTTTCATTTTGAAAATTTGAATCGAAAACCAAAAATTAACATTTAGATTTCGCGAAATTCATGTGTGTGTCGAAATATCAAAAATATTTTTTTTATAAAAATGCAACGACATGTATAATAAATCACTTAGCATTGTTGAAAGCACACAGTAAAATCCAGAAATTGTATGAATAGAATTTTATATGGACAAAAGAATTCTAATATGCATAAATTTTATGCATACTGTTATTTGAAAACTTTTTCTTGTGTAAATAAAATTGAACTTTGATTGTTTACAGACGAGCCTTTTGTTATAACTCTGATAAAAGGCTATCATATTTGATTATAAATACTGTATGGTTACAACAAAAAATTAGTTAACATTCGGCATCAATTCTACAAGGCTGCTACCGGACTTCTCGAGATACCTTATTCTCGTACCAGTACTCTTGGCGGGCATTATCAAAATAAATCGATAGATTATTCAGTAGCTTAAAAATGATACGTTTTATTACTTTCGATTCAGAATGTATGGTTGGGTGTAATACGTTGTGGCGTTTTTGGTCCAAATCTGTTCTACCAATTATCTTTAAAATTAAAAATCATCGACATATATGAATGAGAATGAGAAATCCATTATGAGCCTAACTTACACCAATTCTTCTAGTTTATTTCTTAAAAATATCTTGCTACCAACTCTCACTTAGCATCTCCTCATTTCGTAAGTTAGTCTAATAAAACAAAAAAAGATACTGTAGAAAGTTGATAACAATTATTGTTAATGATTACAGTTTAGTCAATAATACTTACCTATAAATCGACACAGTAAGGCATGCATTTGGCATTGACTTTGGCTCTTGGCGTTTTATTCATCATCCATGTTCAATCGGTAAGTATAAACTTCTTTTTATTTCCATCTATCAAATTTAACTCACAGAGTAACATTGATCAACTCTAATCATAGAATGTTTCAGAATGAATGTGACGTGCATATTGATGCACTTATCACTTACTTTCATGACGCAGCCGGACACATCAAAGAAGATCCCGCCTTATACACTCTTTTTTCCGATGTAGCTAAAAAGGTGACAGAAATTAAGAGAGAGAAGGAAAAATTGAAAAATCAAAAATCAGAGTGTCATCAGGTTTACGAGATGATGAAAGATGTACTGCAGAAAGTGGAATCAAATAAAGAGAAATTGAGAGAAACTAAAGCTTACCAAGAAAATTCTAATGCTTCTGACAAAATCGATCGTTTGATTAAATTTATGGAGAAAATAGAAAACCATCCGAAGTTGCCCGGATCGATTGACTAAATTTTTGTTGTTTTATTGTAAGCATATCATAATTGCAACGATATTTATTATTGAAAGTTATTTTCATATGGATAAAATTTGAATTTTGATCTTCTACAGACGATCCTTTTGTTGTAATTCACAAAATGCATCATATTTGAGTATCAATATTATTCAGTTGCAGAAAAAATTAATTAACATCTTGGAATTAACTCTGAGATTTCCCACTGACAACTTCTCTCCTAAGATATCTTTTCTACTATAATGGTATCATACATTGATGGATATTTGCGAAAACAGAGTTACTGAGAAACTTGAAAATGACATATAACTTCATTATCTCTGATTTATTTTAAATGCTAGCTATAATAATTCTATTCAGTGTATTTGAGTTAAATCCATTTTACTCAGTCTCCTTGATCTTGATTAAGAATGAATGGGATATGTGTTAATGAGAAGATTCTTAACAGCCTAGCTTATACTATTCTTCTACTTATTAAAATTATTTCAACAAAGAAACAAAAAACGGTTTACAACTTTAGGGATCAGATAAAAGATGCCTAAAGCATACAAATATTGCAATAAATATAAACTTGAAAATGATCAGCAATTTGCATCAAGTAAGGATAGGTAAGTTTATCTCATTGCGACACTTCTTTTTTTCGCCACAACAAAACAAGCTAAAAATAAGAAATGATAATAGTGACAAGCGTTTTTCTACAACTAGCGGGGCGCAAAAGTCATGATATGATCATCCTGTTTGGAAGATTTTGAAAAAGTCACCCATAGAGAGTTAACCAATTAGTGCAATACCATCATTCGAGTGTCAATAAAAACATGTGTCAAGAAGATGAATGAACTGCAGGAAAGTGTTGACACTTGCAATCTGCAGAAATATTTTTTGCTTCAGGAAAATACTGAGAAAAAAATAAGCAGGCATTGAGGCATAATTCAATTACAAAAATAAATTTCAACACGATTTATGTATAAATTTACTTCGTTCATTTTAAAAATGAAATAAGGCTGTAATATTAAAATATGGCATTAAAAAAACATATAAAACTGAAAATTCTTACAGGAATTCTCATAAATTAATATTTCATGTGAAAAGTTTGAAGCATACCTAAACATCTATAAATATGATTTAGTGGAATAATTGTATTGAAGGCAAATAATATTTGATATGATTTATCAATGTATTGTACAATATAATACATAAATTAATATGCCAATCATTATTGAACATAAATCACTTCTAAACATTTTTTCATTCGAGTCGATTCACTGCAGTGGAAGAAATTGTAACAATTACCATCATTTACAATTTT